TGGAGGTCATTAGAGGTCATTAGAGGTCATTAGAGGTCATTAGAGGTCATTAAAATTCAATTTTATTTTATTTTAGGAATTTTGATCGTTAATTAGGCGTGCAGCCAAAAAATTGGAAGATTTGAACCAAAAATGAAGGCCCCCTACATCAAATGTGCCAACTCCACCATCCCCTTTAAATAGAATATAAAACATTTATTTTCTGTTCAGAAACTCAGTGAAGGGAGGTGGCGAGGAGCTTAGAGATTTATTGGAGTTTTCTACATTCTCTTACCAGGATGTGAATCAGATTATAGGTTAGATTAATGGGCGTTTTAATAAAATTTTAATTTTTTCTAACAATTTTTCAGAAACTCTCAGTACTCAGTAAATTTTCAGAATTTAAATCTTTTCAAACCAGAAATACGACGAGAATTTAAATCTTTTCAAACCAGAAATACAACGAGAATTTATATCTTTTCAAACCAGAAATACGACGAGAATTTATATCTTTTCAAACCAGAAATACGACGAGAATTCATATCTTTTCAAACCAGAAATACGACGAGAATTTAAATCTTTTCAAACCAGAAAAACGACGAGAATTTAAATTTTTTCAAACCAGAAATACGACGAGAATTTAAATCTTTTCAAACCAGAAAAACGACGAGAATTCATATCTTTTCAAACCAGAAAAACGACGATATCTTCCCCAGAACAGATGAGATAAAAGGTTTAAAGGTGACCGTTATAAATTACATTGACAGTCCTTTTAGTGAATAATTGCTTGGTTGTTCTTCGATGAAGCTATTTGCACGTATTTTTGCTTCAGAAACAAGACTAAAAAATTGTCAGTATTAAACTATTTTCGGACTAGAAAAACGACAATATCTTCCACAGTAAAACATTTTTTAACTAAAATGATAAATGATATTTACACTCTTAAAAGGACTGTAAGCTTAATTTCAAGTTGCCTTTCATTTAAAGAGGGGCATCACTGATTCAATACACAGAGTGATCATGGTCAAGGTTTAATATTAAGGGTACCGTTGAAAATTAAGGTCTTTAAAATAAAGGTCACTTAAAATTATGCTCAGTCCCTTTAAGCAAAGATAATGTATTCCTAGGAAGTGGTGGAGCTGGAGGTGGAGTTGATAATCTTGTCTTGTATCAATCTCATGAGGCAGTTTATACTCAGGTTGTGGCGGCGGGAGGTAACTTCACTAAACCACTAGGTACAGATACTTTTATATACATACTAGGCTTTTAGGGCGCTTCGCGACCATCTTCTTTTTAAATTGTGAACATGTTCTTTTTGTTTACATTTCAAAACAAAGAAGAAAATTTTTTTGCGGATTTTAAAAAAAAATCGCGGATTTGGGCCCGATCGGTTCAGCCGTTTTTACGTTTATTGGATACAAACAAACTAACTGAAAGACAAGCCAAATTTATATATAGATATATAACTAATATATATATATAAAAAGCCAATTTTAATACACAATAAAACATGTTCTAGACGTATTTTACTGATTGCATTAAAAGCATGAAACAATTTGTTTATGAATAAAATGTTATAAGAAGATTGTTGCGTTTTAACTGATATATATATTATATATATTCATATATACCCGCTAAAAGTTAGTTGACGATATTCAAGCCCCCTCCCGGAGAAATTCCTGTATAGTGAATATACCCTTCTTTGCATAGTGGTATGTTATGGGATGAGAAGGGGATTTCATGATGGGGGATGATACTTATTTTGATGAACTGGGGGAAAATATGAACAATTGGACATCTTTTTTCACCCTTTTTTATAGTTTTCCCCCTAAAATTTATTCCCCCCTTAAACTTCTGGGGGAGGGGAAATTATTTTCAAATATCGCACCAACATTATATATCCTGTAATAATATTATATCCCATACTAATATTATAGATTCCATGGTGACCGTGAGTAGAGCCTCAGCTCCGTCCTTCTCCTTCTCTTCCGAGTTCTCTGAACCCGAGTCCGGGTTCTCTGTTCCTCCCGGAATGGATTTCTCCGAGCTTCAGACTTTCTCCAGCGGGAAATCTGCCCCTGGAAAACAATGGTGGCCATAATATATTAAGACATTTTGTTTCAAATAAGTTATGCTTTCTGTTTTTGCGTCAAGGTTTTAAAAAACCTTCTTGAATTTTTAAAAGGTAGGTGGGGGGGGGGGGGCTTGAGTTTGAGGTATCTGTTGAATACGTTGTCAGTCTAAATTGTTTCTAGTTGTTTTTACCCGGTTTATATACTAATGTATTTTAAAGCAAAGACATCAAGGCATATTTTAAACCATTTTTATACTGAATTTCTTACAGGAAAACTTAATTTGTGAAATGTGTATGACATACTTTGAAGAAATAAATTTGCAATAATTCCTGACCTTTAAAATAGTTTGTTCTGCAGCACTTTTTCTTTCATTTTCTAATTGAAGTTGAAGGTTTAAATTGGCCTTTTTGTTTCGTGCTTTTGAGACTTACTGTATTCAGCAGTCACACGCCATATAACTTGATAATTTGCGTGTAAAAAATGGGATATTTTAATTTGATATCTTACCTTTTTGTTCAACATTCGTCTACAATTTTATTTGACTTCTTATAACACAAAGACAATCGTTCAATTAACCATTTAGACATCATACGTAATTTACATTTTTGAACAAATTTACACGTTTCTCTCTGATGGTGTTTTAGAATATGACATTGTGATTTTTTTTGTCACTTATTCTAACTTTTTATAATATTTCTTTTGTTTTTTTGTTTCCATCATTTTATTTTCTTGAATAACCCCCTCCCCCCTTCCCGTTAAGTTTTCATTCCCACANGTTTTATTTAAATTGTGTATAAAGAACATAAAATCCAAATTGCGTACCAACAATTAAAGGACTCAAATAATTTAGGTCTTAAATCATGGGATTAATCAAAAAAACTATAAAAAAACATTTTTTGATATATTTTCATTCTGAATAATTATCAGAGTCTGTATAAAATCAGAAGATTGTTTGGGGGGAAGTTTTATTATTTATTTTAACAGATTATAACCACTCGAGAAATATGATTGGAAATTGTTAATATGAATATAAAAACGTCACCTCTGGTTTTGTAGAACCTTAAAAATGTGTTAAATAATTGTAAATTTTGCATTGTCACAAAAATTTATCACAAATATTGCACCGTTGTTGAATCCGATAGTCCCATAGAAATATACACTAGGACTTCACCACATTTGTCACATATATAAAGTTTTTCATTTTTTATTAGTTACAAAAATTCTATTATTTGTTAGAAATAACTCTATGTTGGATTTCAGATTAAAATGTTCTGTTGACATTCTCTATAGCACTGACAGTAGCATGTGTGATGTTATTGTGTAAACGTTATAAAATGTGGTTCTGCAAGAAAGTATGGAAAAAAGAAAACTTGTTAGGACTAACTTTGTTTATATGCCTTCTAGCTGTTGTAGGCTCTAAAAGCAATAATTCAGCTGACATCAGAACGATTGTTGTTGATAAAGGTAAAAATAATAATATTGTTTTAGAGCATCTAATTTCGCTTATACTAGCTTATAGATGTTTTTTACTTTAACATCTTGTTCAGAAAAAAAAACTTTTTTACTTTCTTTACAAAAATGTAAAAAAGGTCTGGAAACGGAATTTCTCTTCACAACGGTACCCTTAAAAGCTTTGTCTGATCAAGAATGAATTAGATTTGCAATATGCATGTTTACAATTATGAAAACAGATTATTTTCAATTATCAGAATTAAAGCACTACGTTTTTTATATTGATCAGATAAAGGTATAAATAGTATTGTTGTGAATCGGGCTTGCTCCTTTTTGAATGTATGGTCACTTGAAAATAAGCCTACGCTCCTTGAAACTCGGCGGTGACGACCAAGTAATATTTAAGAAGGTGATTAATATGATTTATAAATAATAAATATATTTTTTTTAGGAAAAAATATTACCATATCCTGTGGACCCGAGATAGAACCAAGAACTCTGGCCTCCGACTCATCGGAGGGTAATGAAACCATATCAGATCTAGGGATTTCGGAGGATAATCCGGAGGATGGAGAATGGATTTTACCCGGCCGAGCTAACCTATCCGGATCACTCATAAAAAATCATCTAGGAACATAAAAATACCCCCATTCATTTGATCTTTTTATTCATGGTACTTTACATCATAAAGCTAACTAATTTTGCGATTTTTGTTTGTTTTTTTTAAGTAGATTTTTCAAAGAAATCCACTTTTGTTCGTTTTTAAAGGTATTTTTTTTAATTCTTCTGGTCATGAGAGGTCCGTTACAAAAAAAAAGTGTGAGCCCGATCGTTTCATTCGTTTGATGTTGGCTACAACAGAAAATCCAGATGTGCTTGGTATTATTTTTTGTTTGATTTAGGAGATTTAGTTTTGGTAAAGGCTCAGCCTGAGGCAGAAGGAGTTTACACTTGTTATCAGAGTGGTAGACAGGTATATATGATAATTATGTCTACAGGGCGCTCGCGTTCATTTTTTGTAATCTCTTTTAATTTTCGCTGTCTGTTGCTGATCTATGTGCTAGCCTGTTGTTCATTTGAAATAATAACAACAAGATTTTTTGCAGATTTTTCTGGTTTTATTGGTGGTTTTCGGAAAGTATTTTTAAGGCCAATTTTTAACTCTAACCTGCCACAAATGAACCTTCGCTGTGGTCATTTCAGTTACCAAAAATTCCGTTCTAATTGTTTAAATCTTTTAGGCGCTTTTTTTTTTGAAGAAAAAAGAGAATGCAAATAAAAAAGACAAAGAAACAAAAACATGAATATCCAATTCATACTTGATCAATCTAAGCATTTAATGGTACCGTTGTAAATCGGTCGTTGCTATCATTACAAGTTTTATTTTATTGTTGAAGATTTGCATGGATTCTCTGTTTAGTACCAAGTTGAGGTGAAAGTTCGGAAACCCCCGGGACGAGTATTAAATCTTCAAACTTACTCCCACCCTGTATATGCTACAGGTACGTTCCCTTCTTTACTCCCACCCTGTATATGCTACAGGTAGGTTCCCTACTTTACTCCCACCCTGTATATGCTACAGGTAGGTTCCCTACTTTACTCCCACCCTGTATATTCTACAGGTAGGTTCCCTACTGTACTCTCACCCTGTATATGCTACAGGTAGGTTCCCTACTTTACTCTTCACCCTGTATATGCTACAGGTAGGTTCCCTACTTTACTCCCACCCTGTATATGCTACAGGTACGTTCCCTACTGTACTTTCACCGTGTATATGCTACATGTAGGTTCCCTGCTTTACTCCCACCCTGTATATTCTACAGGTAGGTTCCCTACTGTACTCCCACCCTATATATGCTACAGGTAGGTTCCCTACAATTGAGAGTAGATCAATATTACTGTCGGTTAAGATATAAACTTCTTTATTAACTCCAGCAAGGTTAGAAAGCAGATGTTCAAGAGTTTCCAAAAAAATTTACTCCCACCCTGTATATGCTACAGGTAGGTTCCCTACTTTACTCCCACCCTGTATATTCTACAGGTAGGTTCCCTACTGTACTCCCACCCTGTATATGCAACAGGTAGGTTCCCTACTTTACTCCCACCCTGTATATTCTACAGGTAGGTTCCCTACTTTACTCCCACCCTGTATATGCTTCAGGTAGGTTCCCTACTGTACTCCCACCCTGTAGATGCTACAGGTAGGTTCCCTACTTCACTCTCACCCTGTATACGCTACAGGTAGGTTCCCTACTTTACTCTCACCCTGTTTACGCTACAGGTAGGTTCCCTACTCCCACACTTTATGTATTGTATAGTGCATATTTGGTCTGTGTACTAGGTTGGAAATCAAGAATAATAATAATTCCTATTTTTATTAGTTTCCTGGTCAGTTCACTAGGTTGGAATTCAAGAATAATAATAATTCCTATTTGTATTAGTTTCCAGGTCAGTTCACCAGGTTGGAATTCAAGAATAATAATAATTCCTATTTATATTAGTTTCCTGGTCAGTTCACCAGGTTGGAATTCAAGAGAGTGCTCGGGGATTTCTTTGCCTTTATAGAAATGATACGTCTCAATATACACAGGTAAGAGCTTATTAAACAATACAGGATTATCCACAAAGGATGAGACAGTAAAGACGACTTAAAACTCTTTTATTTAAGATGATCCCTAGTTTAAATTAAGAAATGAAATTTTAATGATTTGGCAAAGAAAAAAGATGTATATACTTGAAGGGAATCATGAACATAAGAAAACAGTCAGTATAAATTCCGTATAGTCGTCTCTGAAGTCTTATCTTTGATGGGTAAACCTGTATATATATATTTTATAATAACAACCCCCCCTCCCTCAAATAATGTTCAGTCCACCCAGAATATAGATGTTAAAGTACAGAATTTAAAAAAGAATTGGTGTGGTAATGATTAACGGGGAAGGAATTGAATATAAGAAATAAGGAAACTGATATTGGAAAACTGATTTAACATGCCTTCCTCATTATTTTTTTTGCAAAAATGAATTAAAGGGACTGTAATCGTAATTTCAAGTGACCTTCCATACGAAGATAGTAGTGCCCGATTTACAATGGTACCCTTGAAACCTTTTTCTGATAAAAAATGCCTTAAGATAACGTCGTTTTTTAGATTATTTAATTAATAAGCAATTCACTTTTGTAGAGAACCCACAAATGAAAATATGTCTAATTCATACTTGATCAATAATCATACAAAGGTTTTAAGGGTACCGTTGTAAATCGGGCATTTCTATCTTTGTATGGAGGGTCACTTAAACTTACGCTTACGGTCCCTTTAAGCTTTAGAGAATATTTGAATTTGTTAAGGTTGATGAGGAGGATTTATCATTTCTAAATTCTACAGTAGAGCTAGGACCTAACTCTAGAACTTGTGATCTATACAATCTTACTCCAAACCATACTTACTTTGTCAAGGTAAAACTATACATTCTTACTCCAAACCATAATTATTTTGCCAAGGTACTATACAATCTTACTCCAAACCATACTTACTTTGTCAAGGTAAAACTATACATTCTTACTCCAAACCATAATTATTTTGCCAAGGTACTATACAATCTTACTCCAAACCATACTTACTTTGTCAAGGTATACATTCTTATTCCAAACTATACTTACTTTTTCAAGGTACTATATAGTCTTACTCCAAACCATACTTTGTCAAGGTACTTAACAACTTTACTCCAAACCATACTTACTTCGTCAAGGTAATATACAATTTTACTCCAACCCATACTTACTTCGTTAAGATACCTTACAATCTTACTCCAAACCATACTTACTTCGTAAAGGTACTATACAATCTTACTCCAAACCATACTTTGTCAAGGTACTAAATAAATAAATCAATTTAAGTAAATGGAAGGAACAAAGATGACATTCGTTCCATGGATTCATGGTTCTCACTGTATATTTATACAGTGTTAGTTTTTATCTCAAATATTTTCAAACTTTTGACCCGAATGAGTCATAAAAGGTTCTAGGTTTGAAATGTCTCTATTTTTAAACAATGATTTAGATAGTTTAGTTTAAATCTTAATCAAAGTTCGTTTTGATTTCTTATTTCGATCAAATAATTATTTGTTTGTGCAATTTATTTCAAACCTCTTGAACACTCCCTTTAAGGTGGCTGGATATAACAGTGCAGGAGTTGGAGAATTTGTCTCTACTATTCTTCATACACCTTCTCCTCCTCATACATTGCATTCTGTCAGGTTAGTTGTCTCTACTATTCTTCATACACCTTCCCCTCCATATACATTGCATTCCGTCAGGTTAGTTGTCTCTACTATTCTTCATACACCTTCCTCTTCACATTTATTGCATTCTGCCAGGTTAGTTGTTTCTACTATTCTTCATACACCTTCCCCTTCACATACATTGCATTCTGCCAGGTTAGTTGTCTAAAAAAAAAATGTTTTTACATTGTGTACTTGCTAAATAAAAGAACAAGCTTATGCTTATAAAACGGACTTATTAAATTAAAGCTAAAAAGGAACTCCTCGCATAGAAAATAAGTAATAATTCTCATCATGAAATTGTCTAGATTCATGCGTTTTTACATTTCCTACTTGCCGGTCACTCCCTTTAAGAATTTTAAGTGTTTTAGAAACTATACAGAATTTCTGAAGAAAAAAAGTGATCAATTTTATTATAGTTACGCTGTATACAAGATATAGAAGATACTCAGATCATCATCCTGTCTCTCCATTACAGGTTGAAACTAATTTTTATTTTTTTGTAAACAAATATGCTTGCGGAATTTTTCTGTTTAAATTGGTGGATTTTCAAAAATCCGCCAATTTAAATGGTGACAGTTAAAAATTTCTACCAGTCATAAAACTTCCTAGGGCTCATGGGAGTTGACATAAAAATATGGGTTCAATCGGTTTAGCTGTTTTGACGTTTTATTAAAGCAAAAGACAGAAAGACAACCAGATAAATTCCTGAAGAAATTCTTGGTCCCCCTCCCCCCACCTTTCTTCATCAAAACATAAATATTTTAAATTTTTGAGTCTTAGTACCCCTAGATAGATTGTCTTAGCTGCAGCGCTCAGCCCAGAAATTTTCTTAACCTAACCTAGCCCTGAAATAATACAAAAAAATTGAAAAATAGTAGAAATCGATGGCATATACATTTTTTGCGAAAGTCCTTCTCTAGTATTGAGATGACAAGCAAATTTAAGATGCTGAATTCTAAAATATTTACGCTAATGGTAGATCCTGGATTTTATTTTTCTTACCACAGGACTGTTCTCCTGAAGAAGACAGTATGGAGTTGGTGCCCCACATTACTCTTAACCCTGCCTTTAACATAGAGATGCTGGAGCACATCAGTCCAGACTTTAATGAGAACAGGTTAGTTAGACAGCTAGCTGTTTCATAGAGAACAGGTTAGTTGGATAAATCACTGCAAACTTGACAGAAGGTGTAGGTAACATGTATGCGACATTAAAAGTACCACTATGTGACCTCTTAGCTCCATTGGTTTTGTTTTTAACCATAAGTAATAATATTAATTAATAATAATAATAAGTTGATTTTATCGGCGTACATAATTTACAATATTTTTACTTGAATTATTCTAAAAGTTTGAACACCAGAGGCCGAAATTTAAAAGAGTATCGTTGAACAAAACTCCCGAGTTTCCTTTTTGGGGTCTTTACATTTGTGTAGATTTTGATTTAAGAGATTCTAAAAAAATAGAGAATATAAAAAACTGAAGAAATAATATGTCATTACAAAAATATTGATAATCACAAAAGTGCGTAACCCCATTCGTGAAACCCGGGTTTTAAAACTGGTTTTACTAACAATACTCTGTCTTAAGTTTTAGGCTCAGGGGGTGATAAGTATGAGAAAAGTAAATTTATCCGGTTTCAAATTGGAAACCCAGCTATTGAACTTTCGGATAGGATCAGTTGATAGATATTTTAGATATTTTTAATATCGTAAACGTAATTTCAAGTCACCCTTGATAGATTTGCAGGTCTAATTCACAACGGTGCCCTTGAAAGCTTTGTCCGATAAAATAAGGATTTGATACCCATGTTTTTAGTTTTTGAAACTCGATTATTTTCATTTGTGATTTCTTCACAAGAGTGACTTGCGCTTTTCTTTTTTTCAACAATGATATAGAAATGATCAGAATTGAGCACTTTTCAAGCTGGTAAAACGACGTTATCTTCCATATTGTTTATCAGGAAAAGGTTCCATGGGAACTATTGTAAATCAGGCAAATCTCCCTTTAAATGGAGGGTCAGGAGGGTCACTTGAAACTACGTCTACAGTATAAAATGCATATTATTTCGAAGAACCCCCAGCTATTTAGCGTTCTAATGACACTTTTTGTTCAGTGAGCACGCATTTCTGGTTCAGAGTTCTAGCTTGAGCTGAGTCTTGAAAGAATATACAATCCATATAAGTAGAAATCTATTGGATTCAACGATATCATTCTTACTAGCTAGTAGTATAGTAGTAGTAGTAGTAAATAACTTGGTTCGTTTTTATAGAACTCAGCAAAACTCAGCAAAAACTTTATCTTTAGAGAAAAAATTAGGTGAAAAACTAATTAAAAATGATTTTTTTTGTTTCTTTTTTTACATAAGTCCTTAAGTTTTGTATAGTTTAAACAATCTTCAAAGTTTTTGAAAAGCGAACCAAGCTATTGCACTTCAGTGAGTACAAGATTATCTTCTCGTATTCTTCCCAAGGATATCCAAGCGATATTTGTAAAATATTGAGGTAGTTTCTGGGTGTTTTCTTATTTTACTTCAAACAACAAAATTTTAGTTTAGCTTCATAAATTGGTCGATAACAAATTTTACTACTGGCATTTTGACATCCACAGATTCAACCTACGTAGATCGGAACTTATATTTTTAATCCTGTCATAAATTAGAAATCTTGTACCTCTTGTAGTCCTACTAATTACAAAATTACAAAAATAATGATTATATTTATATGTATTTGATACAAATATAAATATGTCTATACTTAAAAAACAGAGATCGGAATTGGTAAATTGTAATAGACCTTAGAAATATTTAATACAAGAGTAGAATCAGAAAACATCTTGAAACTCTTAAAATGGAATATCCTATGTGTTCATAAGCCACGCTAATATTAACCTACAGTATTTACACACTTTAGCATATAAAATTGTTTTTATTTTAATGATTTCCGCTCATGATGCCATAATTTGTTATTTTATACTTTGAATTTGCATATAATTTATGTTTTCTGGAACAAATGTGTTCGTCATTTTTATTGTTTACGAAATTTATTTGCTTGTATTTATGTATTTATTTAATTTTATACTTAGATTATTTTTATTTAGACTTTTATTAGAGATTTATTTACTTTTTGATTAATTAATTTTTGTCAAATTTTATCGAGCTTATTAACAGTTAAACTAGGCATAAAGTATCAACATCAATTTGAAACCCGAATAAAAATTAATCATCAAAATATCATTTTTAACTTTTTTTACTTAACTGTAAAATTGTCAAAATTTTTATTCCAAGTAACAGCTAATTTCTTGGATTTTATATTTCTAATTTACTATGTCGCTTTTTGTATCGTTTTGACTGCAGTTGTGAAGTCTAACATGGAAAATTTATAATATTTGGTTCAATTTCTTGTAAGTTAGTCATTAGGTCTTTATTTTTTGTTTACAGAGATTGGAACTTTTGTGCTAAATATCAAAAATCCTGATCGCTTTATCTCGATGTCTACAGTGTGCACTTTAGAATTTTACGCAGAATCTCTTGATTTTGGATATCCGCAATTTCTCTGTTATCTCATTGGTTAAACGCAAATTCCCTGACTTCTAATTGGCTGTTTATTTTCCGAAGACCACACTCTTCACGAATATCGAATAAAGATTATCAAAAGATCGAAATCAAGCATTGATCTAGATATACACAATTCAAGATTTCCCAGTCCCATCTCTGGGTTAGCCACAAAGGATGCAACTTCAGAGACGACTGAACGGAATTTATTCTATCCTTTTGTTTATACAAATGGTTTAAATCAGCTGTTAACTCGCTTCTTTTTTGTAATTACTTTTTGGAAAAAAATAATCTTCTTGGCCTGGGATCCAATTAAACTTTCAGATGAAGTATTTAATTAATGTCTTAACCATTGTGGGAAACACTGTATCTACAGAAAAATAAACTTATAAACTGAATTCCCCAAACCAAGCAAACTTAAACTTACTTAACATTTTATATTTGATTCAAACTAATTTTAACATTTATTCTAGCATTCAAGGGAATACAAAAATATGTCGCTTTTTTTATTCTTGAGAAATTCTAGGACTACTTTGTTTGATTATTTAGCTGACCGTCTCTAGTAATTGTTTGACTGCTCCGTAAAACCATGCTCATAAATTCCTAATTCTTCTCACGTGACATAATTAATTTTATAAAATCGTCGTCGTTCATATTAAAAAATGAAGACGGCTTTCGACTTTAATTTTGATTTCTACCAAGCGCAGCTTTCAAACAGCATTGATACACATAGACATGAAAACAAAGAAATTCGCTAATTAACAGATTTCTCTTGTAATTTGAAAAAAGCTGTCTTTATTTTATTGATATAAACGCCGACCACTGTATCTACTTGCAACTTCTGATTCTCATTTTGTTATTGACTTCGTAGATCCTGTTTAGTATGTACTCTTCTAGTCTTACATTTTTATTATTGTATAAATAATTGATAAATTGTAATATTTTATATATTTTTATGTGAATAAATTTTGCTAACCTACCTCCATGGAATTTATAATGTAAATATTTTTTACATAAAAGAATCTTTAGTTTAAATATGTTCCGGGGCAAATACAGGACCATGTCTAGGGGGGAGGGGGGCTCAGACTCGATAGACATGGACATGGACATATCCTAAGTCACACTCACCGATGCAAGATACTTGGTTCAACCTTACCTAGACCAGAATTGTTGAACAACAGGTTCAACCAGTTGTGAGATGGGTTATGGTTGAAATTGATCTAAGCAGTTCAGCTACTTCTTTTCAAGATACCTGGTCTAAGTTTTGCTTAGCATGTTTTTCAAATTACAATCTAAAGCAATGCTGATTTTGTGATTACACGCTTTACTTTCTAGTGTTAAAGTTACATTAACAGAGGAACAACAGCATATGCCCAGTCCTAGCAATAGCTGGAAGGAAAATGTTTCTGGTAGTTTACAGTTTCCAGTCTACAGGTCACAGGTCACAGGTCACAGGTCACAGTTTACAGTCTACAGTCTACAGTTTATAAAATTACAAATATTTTTTTTAAATATTCTACCTTCCATCCCCATTCTTCATGTTGGTTGATTTAGGGACATAATATACATTTTAAAACTGTTGTAATATTTTATTTTTTTACAGGAGATATTTGATTTAAAAATACATTTTAGTATTTTGTTTTCTCAGTACAAATAGAATTTCCCCGTATCGTCTCTCTCCAAATCATCACATCTAAACAAAATTAAGTTAATGTATGAAAAATATATCAGTAGGTATCACTATACTTAATTCAAAGAATTATTTGAAAAGACGATATCGAATTCGTCACTGAATTCCCATGTTTTTTGGGACACCCTGTATGAGCGAGGAGCTTTATTTTATAGATAACTAGCTGAAATGCTCGGCGTTGCCTGTGAAATTTGTATTACACTTGAAAACTAAATTTGAAGAGAAAAAATCGAAATTTGAAAAGAAAAAAAAACAAAATTTTAAAGAAAAAAAATTATTATTTTAGCTTATTTTACCCCCAGGGTACCCATGGGTTTTCTCAAAATATTTCTGCTAATTTGTCCAGCTATAGATAACATATAGATATATATGTATGTCATATATAAGAGATGAAGAGCTTTATTATTTACAAGCCAAATATCTGGTTGCATATTAAAAATAGAAGCTTTTAAATTTTTTTAATAGCTCTTGAAAACATTTTAGAGTTCAATCTATGTTACTTAAAAAGAAATAATCGGAAAGATAAACCCTAGGTACATTTTCAAAAAATGTTGATGGTTTTTGATAGTACATTTTTGTCCAAATATTTTATATTTATGTCATGTCAGCTCTTTATGTCGGAAAATGGTTAAATTATATTGATCGAAAAAATGAAATGTAAAAATTGCTAGATTTAAAGAAAACAAAACAAATAAGACTACGAAAATGATCTTTACTTTTCATCGAGATAACATATTTTAATCGAGATAACATATTTGGTTAGTATTATCAAATTCTATTTTATCATGTATTATATCATAATACATGTATAACTTACATATATATTATTCTATATATTTTTGTTTGGTTTTAGTTTCTCAATATGACGAACGAAATATTACTGTATTCTATATTAATGGACCTTGTGAGTAACTGTTTAAAATCTCCAATTGGTTCTATCACGTTCCTCAAAGATTTTGCGGTAGTTATTGCCTAAAAATTGAGAGGATGCACATGCAGGACATATGTTTAGAAATCAATAGTTAGAAATTACACAGAAAGGAGTGGATCAGATTTGCAACTTTTTAAAAAAGAGTGCAAAATACACCTAGTTCCTCTCAGTTGTGCAGTTGCACAGTTGCAGAATTTTGCTAACAATCCCTTTAAGTTTAGAGTTTACCTTTTCCGACTTTAAACCAGCAAAGTGCATTAAACAGATTATTCCCGTTGTACCGGCTCTAAACATAATCAATGTGTACTGCTAGGCTACAAACATGAATATTGTGTACTGCTTACTCTTTCAGAACGTTAGCAATGGCCTATTGTAAACGAAAACTGTGATGTACTCTGAACTGTACCTGTATATGTACCGTATAACTGTGCCTACGCATCTATGACCATGTGTATTACCTATGTGCGCCAGCTAAACAGTGTACCAATACATTCCCTCCCATATTTATTTGTTTGTTTATAAACTGCAGTACAGGAGATATCAACTGCAGTACATTATCCTAAATTAATATTAGATTTATAAGTTCTATGTTTTCTATGTACTACTAAACTCGATATCCACTATACAAACTTTAAACTTTAAAGAATTAAAAAGGAAAAAGTTGTCCATCCCTAACATCAGACCTGAAGAGGTAATCGAGGTAATCAACTCAGGTAAAATAGAAACAGTTTGAGTCTTTTGAGTAGCAGATTTAGGAGATAAAAATTCGCCTTCTGAATTCACAAAATGGTTATTTTATAAAATTGTTCTTCACGTCTATTCTTGTTTGTAATATAATCCCATTTTATAGCTGGCATAAAAGATAATATGGGAGTGTATAAAGTGTATATAGCTACCTGTTTGCTTGACAAATGAAATCTCCAAGATGCAATATCAAAATTATGATAAACAAGAACTTTCTCATGGTAATTTCTAAACAATCATATTGAGATAAAAAGAAATGAAAATTGGTTGAACAAGAAGAGGGTGAAAGCAAACATTTAAATTTTTCTCAGTGTGTTTTTTTTTAAATGGTTGTTTAATAAGGAGATAATTCAGCTGTACATCACAGCAAGATTTGTAATTTTTTTCTCCATATTTTTAGATAAGATAAAAATACCTGATGTCTGTTGTGCAGTTTACAATAGCACAGATTCCGTATTGCCTAAAATTAATATTCTAAAGAGAAAAAGGATTGTTTCCAAGATGTATAAATCTTAATTAAATTATAAATTCATTCCATATTAAGGAGATAACTATTCTGAGTCACTTATTTTAAAAAATCCTTTACAAAAGTTAATTTTTAAATTTGAAATAATATCACTTGTTTAAGAATGAATATAGTCGCTAATTCAAGGTAATTAAAAAAAAATGTAGGACCTAGAAAAATATTTTTCTTTCATACATATCATGATTTGAGTTCTTTTCTTTCATCTAACAACCTTTTTGAAAGCTGTATATGTGTAGTACTACTCCATAAGAGTCTCTCAGACCAGGTACAACTTAATTTCTCTCGTTGGTTTATGAGGCATAAGAGCTAATCAGTCAAACAGCCCTTCACTATCAATATCAAACACGTACACGATCTCGTAAACTATAAATGCCAAACACTGGGCACAATCTCATAAGCTATCAATGTCAAACACGCACACGATTTCATCAATGCCAAACACTAGGAACGATCTCATAAGCTAACAATGCCAAACACTGGGCACATTCTCATAAACTATCGATGCCAACGCTGGGCACGATCTCATAAACTATCAATGCCAAACACTGGGCATAATCTCACCAACTCGTTGAACTTATTGTAATCTAAGTGGAGTATATTCCAACTAATATGCATTTAGACATCTAAGTTACAGGTTAAGTTAATGTACATATTTACAAAATTTGCGCAGATATATATAGGCGTAGTTAAGCTAATCACAATACAGGTTTGACATATTTACAGACGTCGCTAGGCTAGGTTAATCGCATTACAATTTTTGCGTAGTTAATGATAAGCGCATTTAGATTTACAGACAATGTACAACGTAATACATATAGGTATGTTAAGGTTAACAAATATTGGGATTGTTACGATATTTGCTACATATGTTTCTTTTGTGATTTGATTTTACATTATTTTTTTTTGATCGTTAGAACTGAAGAGGGTCAACCCAGACAGAAACATTCTTTTCATAAATGTGAAATAACCTCTTGTTTATTTACTTTATCGTAGAGTTTGGTCAAACATCAATTCCAAATTTTAAATATTGAAAAATTTACATGAGAAGATCCATATCTCGGACTGCTCTCTCTCCTCCAACATAAATACTTCCACCCTGAAGAAAATATAATAAAAATTCGGTGATGTTGATGGACCAAATCTCTGTAGAGTAAATTAAGTAGATTTTAGTCCCTTATTTTATTTAAAATATATTCCGGCCAGTCTAACGATATAATAACCATCAAAATCGATAGTAAAAAATGTTAAAAAACCGTAAAAAATAAACAAACAAAAAAAGATTATTTACTAAAACAAATGGGCTGTCAAATGGACAAAAGGGAAACGAACTCAGATCATGATATGGAAAAAAGATATTTTGCAAATACTCACTTTTAAAAGAATGTTTTAAGACATTTTTTATTCCTTGAAATTTGCCTTAAATCATGTGATAAAGACACAGGAATTGTAATTACGTCTATTAATTTAATGTGTAACCTATAAACCTTTAATACAATTAGTTAGAATCAGAACTCCGCTTGATTACAGTGTTGAGTAATTGTATCCCGGGTTGAGAGCTAACCTCAGTATAGGGCACGAGTTCGACTAAGTGCTAATGGATAGCCAATGCTTGTGTCCCTGTGAGGCATTTAGAGCGTGAGTAATAGCTTGTTGATAGCTACGCTTGTGTCCCTGTGAGGCATTTAGAGCGTGAGTAATAGCTTGTTGATAGCTACGCTTCTGTCCCTTTGTGGCATATGATCTCATAAGCTAACAATGCCAAACACTGGGCACATTCTCATAAACTATCGATGCCAACGCTGGGCACGATCTCATAAACTATCAATGCCAAACATTTGTGGCATATAAAGCTGGAGTAATAGCTTGTGTGATAGCTACGCTTGTGTCCCCGTGTGATATTTAGAGGCGGAGTAATAGTTTCCTTTCCTATTCATTTATTTAGATTATCCCGAAACCCATGTGCTTTCTTGTGCTTTTGCTATAAAATATATGGGTTCCTTCCAAAAATCCCACTTAATAACAAAGATGAGATCTAAATACATTGCAGGTTTACAGGATCCATTCAAGGATAAATATATGAAAGGGAAAAGCAATTATAAATTGAAATCATTAATAATATTTGCTATGTAATGTTTGTAAATGAAAAGATTATCAGAATAATTCATTTTGTCCGTTCTCACCATGAAACACAATCCAAATGCATTTTAAGTCGAGTTTTGTGACAAAAACCAGTTATCGTCTATAACCCACTAAAATATCCTACTGTGGGGGGCGGCCTGTTTAAGGAGGAGTATTTAAACCTTTTAAATAATTGGACATAAACAAAACTATGTTTTGTTTAAATAGCATACGTATGTATCATGAAAAATATTTGTTAATTGAACTAAGTCTGACATTCTCTGAAGACCATTTCTGTTCTGTTAAAGTATTTTTTAAATTAGGCTTTCAGGGTGCTTTGAGCCCATTTTTTAAACTAGGCTTTCAGGGTGCTTTGAGCCCATTTTTTAAGCTAGGCTTTCAGGGTGCTTTGAGCCCATTTTTAAACTATGCTTTCAGGGTGCTTTGAGCCCATTTTTAAACTAGGCTTTCAGGGTGCTTTGAGCCCATTTTTTAAACTAGGCTTTCAGTGTGCTTTGAGCCCATTTTTAAACTAGGCTTTCAGTGTGCTTTGAGCCCATTTTTAAACTAGGCTTTCAGGGTACTTTGAGCCCATTTTTTAAAAGTTGCTTTTTAAACAGCCATTTTCTCTTATAATTCTGCAAATTTCTAAAAAAAAATGATAAAATCCAACATTTTTTCCAGGCACTATTCACCACGTTTAAACGTTAATAAACCTTCCCTGGTATCATGAGAGTTGACGCACAAAATTTGGGCCGTTTTGACGTTTATTGGTTACAGACAGGACAGCCTATATAATGAAATAATTTACCTTTTCTGATTTGAAAATGATGTCTAGAGGTTTGTATCCACTGGGGTCAATCTCCTCAGGGTTTATACCTTTTGGTTTAATCAATTTTAATCAATTTTAATTGTTATTTGTTTCTCTGTTTTCATTTATTTCGTGGATTTTGAAAAATCGAAATTTTTTCAATTCTCATACCATTAAACTTCCCTGGGGTCATGTGAGGCCCCACAAAAAATGTGGGCCCGAACGGCTCAGCCGTTTTGACGTTTATCAGTTACAAACAAACAAACAGATAGATAGCTCCAATTTATGGTTTAAAAAAATACCCCATAAAAATACTTTTATTGGAGATGAGAAATTTATTTTAGATTCTGTAAGCCTAAAAGTAATTAAAAACAGAAAAAGCTATTTACGTACAAAACGAAAGTGTCACGCAAAACTGTAAATTAAAAACACTTGTTTTTTCCCTTTACATCAGAGTGCGTTATTTAACCCTACATTTTTAAAGTTTAAAGAATGAAAGAAAAATTCTCCCTTTTTATCGCTAAAATGGGTTATTTTCAAATGCTCTGTAAAAGTGAGGTGAAATTTTCAGATTGCTCTTGAATAAAATGAAAAATCTAACCTAATTTGCTCCAAAGTTTCCTCGCCTCCTCGCTATAATCTAAAGCCGGTCTCATATCTGTTAAAGAAATACATTTTCATGACACTCTATCTTCAATGCATATTTTCATGGGTTGAAGATGTTTGTTTGTATTTAAGAAATAAAAATGTGCGAAATCTGTGATTTTATAAAATGAACGAAAAAAGATGTTGCAGTTACTATGACAATTCAAAGTAAAGCAGGACAATAATAAAAATATTTGTCTGTTTTTGGTTTTTTGAAGGAAAAATTCTTATTCACTATACCTTTCATCATTCTGGACATTTTTTCTGGAAAAAAATATTTTGAATACATCAAATAAAGGGTTGCCCACAACAAATGATTGAATATGATGATCTGAAATTTGAGTTTAAATTAGCAGGTGTTCTGTACTTTCCCAAAGAATTTTTCCCAAGTGGCAACTTCAAAAGTGGCAACTTCTAAGGCCAAACCTAACCTTTGGGAAGTTACCGCTTGGGACATTGCACATTTGGGAAGTTGCCACTTGGGAAGTCGCCCTTGGAAAAATAGTAAATACCTTTGTGAAAGTAGCTTTAAACCGGTATTAGCAGGCCCATAAAAAAGTTCTTTTCAAGACACTAAATAATATTTGGCTAAAAATTAATATAAGAAAAAATCCTGCATAAATTCTGTTTCTGAAGTCTCGAATTAATAATCCTTTGCTTTTAGAAAAACTAAATTTGGCCCTACTCTAATCAGGACCCATGGTTTACGTGTTAAAATTAACATGTTTTAAATATTTGTTTTACCATGCACATTGTTTTCAAATGTTTACTATGTGTAAGAAAGACCTACAAGCAATAACTGCTTTCCAGTAATTCTAATCTTTTGGGTTTTGCACGACACGGAGGAAGTAAAGGGGGTGAGGCCAGAACCGAAAATTTAGCTAGCCGAAATATTTCTAAAAATACAGTTGTAATTTTTACATAATTAATCATAATGGCTGCCCCCCTTATTTTGTCTCCCCTATGGGAAAGGCAGTCCTGTATAGGCAGCAGGCAGAGAGTAGGCTTGAGCATAATGGGAGTAGGGGGGAAGGGGGAGGGGGCACCCGGAACATGAATATAAACGTCACAACTCACAGCACTAGCAGTCAAGTATCTCCTTTACTTACTCCGGTGTTAGGTGAGAGTAGAGCCTAGTGTTACAACAGGTACCTTGAGTGCCCTGAGCTCATTCTCCAGCTGATCAATTCTCAACACAAAAATACGCAAAATATTCCGCAAAAATACGCAATTTTCTTGACTAGTGAGGAAGACGCTTATCAGTTAGTTAAACATCTTAATCTGAGAGATTTGTTTTCATGTTGGTGAAAATACAAAAAAAAATCTTAATTTAAAAAAAGCATTACATGTAATAAATTAAATAAACTTTTAAATATAAATCTTAGGCCTAAACTAGTGTGAGTCTAAACACCAGAGGTGCAACTAAGTTTGTGGGGAGAATTCGCGTAAAATTAGGTGATATTTGACACATTCAAATAAATGTATTTTTTGGCTTTTGCCACATTTTCAACAATGATTTGAGTATTAACATTTACTTTTCTACACAGGATCCAGAAATATTTTATTAATTTAACGATGACTTTTATTCAATTTTTTGGTTATCACTGTGTATTAACATTTAACACTATTAGAAAAAAAAGTATGTTTACGAAGTTACGAATAGAATATTAGGAATATAAAATTCTTCGTAATGCAAATATTATGATTGAAGCAGGAGAAATTGCAATTCCCGCAAACCGTGGTTTTGCACGGACAATTTGGGATTCCCTTCATATATGCAAATATGAATATTTAAAGTGCACTGCATAGATTCAAAGTGTTCAGAATTTTAAACATGAATTCAAATCAAACTTTATTTTTAATAAAAATCAGGTTCTCTCCAAAATCAATTTTATTTTGTTTCCTCTGGAAAGATGTAATAATTAATATAGTGATGGGGGTCTATGGCAAGAGATAAATATTGAGTCTTTAAGAATTTGTTTAAATTTAATTCCATTTCTTTCTGATGTAAATATTTTTAACGTATGTAAAAATCACATAAAATCGTAATTCAGCATTTCAAAACAAAACATTTTTCCCACATATTGTTTTTATATTACAGGTGCAAAATGGAAGAGGAAGTGAGTCAAACAAATACCTTTTGTGAATTATTAAATACAGGGTGAGTTACAAAAAATTTAAAAATTTGTATGTACATAGATATGTATAGAAGATTGTATGATTATTGAACATTAAAGTAAAAGTTTCTATGGAAAAGTTTTGTATTGATATTAATAATATTATTTATTTGTTTACCATTTGTGATTGTTTTATGTAACTAAACCTAATCAACATTTCTGAAATCTCAGGTGTTCGAGTACGGTGACGAGCCTAGATGTAGAAAAAGGTAAATTTTACGTTAACCTTTTTTTACTTTTTAAGTCTGTTTTTCTGTTTTATTGGTGATAATTTTATTGAAGTAGAATAATAATTTAGGGCTAAAAAAGGCAGCCGAAGATACTACTGGAAAATTATCAGGAAAGAAAAATTTACATTTTAATCTTATTGTTCTTGTTTGTGTTTGTATTTTGTTCTTGTTCTTTTTTAAATCTTGTTCATTTTGTTCTTGTTCATAGCTTCTTTCTTGTTCTAGTTCTTGATCTTGTTCTAGTTTAAATTTTTGTTCTTGTTCTTGCTCTTGTTCTTGTTCTTGTCGTTATTGATTATTCCTGTTGTTGTTTTTTGTTTGTTTTTGTATCTCGTTTCTTGTATTTTGAATGTAAATTATTTTCCATTCCTAGAAATATGTACAGAACCAGGATTGTACAGACGCCGTACTCAAAGTACAGTCAGGTGCAGTACAGTACAAAGTATCCCTCAGGATGAAATTCTCATCTGTTTATACCAAAAATAATGAAAGTTATGATTTTTGATATAATTTATTTTAAACTAGATTTTGCCGAAGTCCGCCAAATATTCGGAAACATATTCCCTCAGGAACAACTAAGGTTATTATTANAACCCTTAATAACGAATACATCGAAAGAATTCATCAAATGTCGTATTCTTCACTTTCTGATAATGGAATGTTGCAGATATTTATTTTTTTAATTAAATGATTATATGGAACTCTTTGAAACTGTTCCCGCATATTCATGGCTATTTATTTATTTTCGCAAATACTGAAATTTACGTAATTTAGTATAAAACTCATTGAAAAATTTTCAAGACGACATTTGATAAATTCTTCCGATGTATTCGTTATTAAGGGTTTCACTGTATCTATCTTTTTATCCATCCATCTATCAATCTATTCCTGCCCGATATTCACAGTGTCTTTTGCATGCACAGAGAATGAACATCTTATTTCATCATTGTCCAACGCCGACATTTCATAGGTTCGATGAACCCAGGCCCGCATTAATTTTCATCCAATAGGAAGACGTCATCGTGTGCGCATTTTGTCATCTTGCTTATCATTGGTCAGATTTATAAGAGGAGGATGGGGAACGATATAGGGAAAATTGTAGACAGATGTCAGATTTAGTTAGTTTTGATTCAACCATCTAGAAATACATTTAAAGGTGAACTTACAAGAACTAGCGTTTTCCATAGCTTCGTATTCATTTTTGCAGAATTGTCGTTTTTTTCGTTTTCATTTGCTTATTTTTATATACATCCTACAGGGTGTCCCACGAAACATGACAGTTGTGAAATTAAAAGAAGAGAAACTAGTTTTCATAGTTCCGGGTGAAAAAGAAACTTTGGTTTGCAGTTTTCTCTACATATCAATTATTTTCTCATAAAGTTAAAATTCAGCAAAAACACACAAAAACTTTTTGTCTAGTTTTTATTTTAGTTCTGGGGAAAAGGGCACATTTCTCATGAAGCAGGGGAAGGGGGGGGGGGGGGGAGGGTAAAAACCTTGGCTGAATTTTGGTAATATTTGGTGAATTTATTGGATTATTATGGATTAAATGCAGTAAAGCCAAAAGGCCCTCGTTTAGTTAGATCATACTTTTGTTTTATTTAACTACTTCTATTGCTACATATTCAATGCATTCTGTATTTCGCAATTATTCTTTTACGGTTGTTATTCTTTTTAATATTGTTTTTTTTTAGTTATTCTTATCAAATTACGATGTAGAGTATCACTCTAGCGACGGAAAATGTTTTTACGCCGAATTATAACTTAAAAATAACTGATTTAGTGTGTGAAATTTGAATAATTATTAAAAAATTTCAACCACTGAGAGCGAAAGGCTTTCGAGTCCATTTTAAATTTATTCCATTTATATAGTTAACTACGCTAAGTTTCATTGAATTCGACTGAGTGGTCGAAGTTTGGCCGAATTTTTTATTTTTACTGATCTTTTATGTTGATATAAACAAAATATCTTTAAGAGTTTTTCATAATTACGAAAAAAATGTTTGTAATTTAAAATGATATTAAATCAATTTATATTACGAACAGATGTTAGAGTTTCTTCTAAAAGTGTAGCAAAACAGGGTATATGATGTAAGACATTTTGTTTATATTTGTAAAGTGTGTACAGTTACTGTTTCCAGGATCGGAGAATCATAAACTTTTTATTTGAATTAACGCCATCTTGTCAAATCTTAACTCAACATAAAATGTATTTTTTGTTTTATCTAAAAAAAAACACCCCAGGACCGTAGTTTTTGTATCTAAAAGATTAATTTCAATACGCAAAGCACATTGTGTTCAAATTAAATTCATTCTTGATGTGGCTGCCGTAAGCAAAACAAACTGGTTAAAAATTGAAAAAAAGAAAAATTTTAATGTTTCTGCGCATGCGCGAGAAAAGTGTGTTTCCGGAGTATGGCGCCAAATGTGTGCCTACTTGTTGTCAGTGTTATTATTTCTCTGAAAAGTTGAAATATCATGGAGCAGTTGAAAATCATTTCACTAAAATTGTTCGCTACAGTGTCTTTTATTTGCATGGTCGGAGCGTTTCGTATTTTTAACTTTTTTTACAAAATCAAACCTCTCAAACGTCAAGAAAACTTTTATGTTTTCAACATGCACGAATTCCTTTTAAAAAAAGGTTTTCCATGTTTTTTTTTCCACCCCGAAAGATTTATTTCTAGCTTCGTTTCTGATCTGAAATTTATTTATCTTATTTCAAATGGAAATAATTTGTAAGAGTTTTGACTCGTAGCATTCTAAAAAGTTTGTTTAAACAATAAAATTCTAAACCGCAGTATAAAGTGCAAAAAAAGAGTTGTTTGAATAATTTTTTATTTATTTATTTGTTTTAAAGAGGCTGTCGATCTAATTTCAAGGAACCCACCATTTGAAGTGTGACATTTCATATTCACAACGGTACCCTGCACACCTTTTACAGAGCAACAATGAGGAGGATATCGTCGTTTGAATCTTGCATGCCCCTCTTTTTTAGTTGAAGGGTTGCTTTAAATTACGTTGACGTTGATGTTAATGTTACCCTCTTTGTGTATTCAAATTGACGTTGATGTTGATTATTTTGTGAAAACAAATATACATCATTTTTATCTTTTTAAAAAAGACCCTAATCATTCAGTTATTGTTTGACCTCTCGGCTGAAACATATTTTGTTTACTTAAAATTTCTAATATAAGTAAAAATCCAAAAACGTGAAACGGCTAAACTAAACTTTTGTCCCTGCAGTTAAAAGTTTGTAACTTACAAAAACCGGAAATATTTTTTAATTTTAAAGTTTTCTACATTTTTATTTCTGTAAAAGTGAAAAGCCAGCAAATTTATTTTCATGCATAGTTTTTTTCCCACAACTTTCAAAAGCTATTGTTTTACTTTAAATATGCTTTTAGCTTTTGGTTAATTGGTGCCAGGCAGCTGAGAATAAACTTTTCTTTCTAACTTAAAAGAGCATTATATCATGTAATTGGAAAGATATTGTTAAGCATTAAAAATTAAAAAAAATTATCTAAAAAGAAATTTGAAAATATGCTGGGGGCACTTGCACGCAAAAGTGTTAGCCCCCCTACCCCGACAAATTTAGCGCATTTCCATATTTTTGATAAATTCTTCATTTATATCTTTAAAGAATGCGGATGTAAACAAAATAGGGATTCAAACTTTTTAAAAGAATGTTTAAACAAACAGATTTTGTTTTTCTTTAGTTTTATATTTTACGTTGTAGTTAGATTTGTACTAATTTATCTCATGAAAATTTATTATACTGTTAAGGATTTTTTGTGTCACATTCAGTCAGATATAGCCAAAGAGAATAGAATATATATTAGAGTGGAATTTACTAGAAAAAAGTGTAAAAGAGCCATTTTGTTGTACTGTTTCCATACTGCAGGTGTACTTCACATATTTGTGCTATATAACCTTTTGGGCCCTGGAACATCATTTTTTAGAAAATCTAAAATTAATATTAAAAGAAACCCAAATTATGAAATAGACTGGTTTCATAATTGACCAATGATCATTTCACATAGACTCTATACAAGCAAATGATGTTTTTTATTCATTTTATAAAATTATTTTATTAGCAGCTTTAAAAAATTCGAAATTGAAATGGATAGTCTAGAGAACATACTGTATTAATGTACTCTACTGCATATAATTTGTGAAGATTTACATGATTTGTACACTTTGAACTCCCTTTCAGGCTGAAAGGGACTGACAAAATTGATAACGAGGGATTTTCTAAATTCCACTATATATTCTATTCTGTTTGTATATAGCTTCAAAGGAACTATAGATTTGTAATCGTAATTTCATGTGACCCTTCAGTCATTTCTGATTTACAATGGTACCATGAGGAAAATATCGTCGTTTTTCTTACAGGAAATTTTCAGCTAGTAAATCAAGGAGATCTCGCTACATAAATCTCATTCGACCTTATGATCAGACAAAGTTTTTTAAAGGATACATATTGATATGATAGTTTGGACATACCGACAGTATGTAATTTTCTGGCTGGGGTTTTATACAGTACATTGGGTTCTAGCAGACAGTGGACCTTGGACAAGCTGCTCTTGCATACTTCCTTTCTTATTTAACCAAACAGCTATACTCCACTGAATTTTAGACATAGAGAATAGAATATATATTAGAGGAGTATGGCGCCAAATGTGTGCCTACTTGTTGTCAGTAGGGGGGCGTCATCCCCCACCCCTCCAGTCTGTTTATGGGTAACATCCCAGTAATAACTTTTAACGCCGAAATACTAGTTTCAAATCCTATGATTTCTAAAATTCAAAATTACAAAATCGATAACATTTTAAAACGATTTAATATTTCTGTCAATTTTGAAGAAAAAAGGGAAGACCACATTATGGAATGCTCAGTTTTATACACTCCAGCTTAGTCATTCATTAATTATTGAAAATTAAAGATCATTTTAATTTTGCCAATCTGAAAAATGTAAAAAAAATCAGAATGTCGTCTATGTTCTAATTTTTTTTTACAAAACATATTCCAAAAAAGGCCAAATTCTTCATTTAAAAAATGTTGTTTATAAATATTGAAAACACCAATGAACGATTCTTGGTACATACCGACAGTTTGGACATACCGACAGTTTGGACATATACTCAAACAAAAAGAGAGATTGAGATTATCTATATAGACCCAAAAAACGAACCTGAGAAATCTCATATATCATTCAATTTCTTAGATATTGGATTTTCTAAACTCACTTTTAGGATGTTTTTCTTTTTTTACAATGTTTAACATAAATTTCAAAATGGAACATCCAACATTCAGCGAAGAAACACATAACAGACATAACACACATATTGCTCAGGTTTAGTGAAACAAAATTAAATTTTAGGTAAAACTAAAAGATCGATTAATTAAACACAGAAGAAGAGGTGTATTTATTGGTGTTTTAGACTGGTAACTTAGGTTCACTTACTACCTTAAAGGTACTGTCGCCATAAATTCAAGTGAACCTCCAGTTAAAAGAGGAAAGAATACTCTGTGTGTTTATCTGACCCACAATGGAAGAAATCATGGGTTTTTTACTGAAAAAGTGATAAATTTTGACAATTTCTTTCTCTTTGCATCTGCTGCATAAATCCCAAGTCACTTTTGTGATATTTTCTAAATGGACATTGTTTTAATCATGCCCCTCTTCAAATAGGCACTACTGTAGTAAACACCTACTCCATAACAAGTTATCGAATGTAGCCATCCAGGTCCAATCCGTCCGTTATACAACTCCACCAGGACTGAATCCCAGGTTCTAAATGCAACACAAGGACACAAGCGTAACTAATCGAAATCCAGCTACTAAAACCATACTCAACCAGGACTGAATCCCAGACTCTTAATGCCACACAAGGGCACAAGTGTAGCTTATCAAATCAGTTTGCTGCTGCTCTAAATGCCACACAGGGGCACAAGCCTAGCTATTAGTAAGCTATGTATATAGATCCCAATTAATAGGGATGACCTGCTCTAAATGTCTCACAAGGACACAAGCCGAGCTATCAAAATAGCTATATGTCAATCTCAAATGATGGGTACGATCTGCACTATATGTCTCACAAGGACACATGCCTAGCTATACAAAAAGCTATATGTCGATCCCAAATGATGGGGACGATCCGGTCTAAATGCGACGTTATTACAATTGGAGTTGACGTAGTTACAATTCCTATGATGTTATCTATATCACACGATGAAGACCATTGAATTACATATTTATCGCACAGTCAAAGTTTAAGATGCATGTTTAAAGGATTAGGGATAATAGATATAACACAGTTAAGCTATCTCCACACATGTTTTATAGCATAATTCAAGTATGTTACATGTCATGTTAAGTATTAAATTGAAACACATTTTCAATGAAACATGTCACTATGTCTAAGTTTACAACATTAAATCATTAATAATGTACAACGAACAGCAAGTTTACAGAATATCATGCTTACACGATTTTTACTGCACTACATGTATAGGAGAGAATATACAAGATTATTATTAACAAACTTTTTTGACATTTTTTTCTTGTTGATAACTATCTATCTCTTCATTACATGAGAGGCAAAAGAGATGCAATATATGTATTGAATCCTTGTTGTCTTACGTGAATGAAGAGATGTGTAATTTTTTCAACTTTGAAACAAATTTTATGGAGGTTTTTGCACTTTAAACGAAATATAACACTTTAATTTACGTAAAAATCAACCTTATTCTGTATTAAAGACTGTAAAATCTATTTAGTTTTGTAACACACAAATCTAATTCATGTTTTCGGAGAAGTAAATCCGCAATTTCTTGGCAGAAAATTTCGCAATCAATTAGATTGCACCCCTAGGGTTGCAATCTAACATTGGATTCAATAGTGCCATAATTTTGTTGAAAAGTTGTAAAAAATCCATTATTTGACTTGTCAGGTGCGGAAACTAGGTTTGAAGCTAATAATACCAGAGACTTCTCCTGAACATTCGACATTTGCTGAGTTTGGTAAGAATGCAGTTACTCCTGAGCTGAAAACTTTAGAATGGATAACCTTAAATCCCAACTACTTAATCCGAATATCCACTGTGGAAACTTTTAATTTTAGTCCTTAATCCACTCTTTTTCTCTCTCTTTGGATACCCGTACATTATTTTCTCAAATGAAAGTGCAGGAATATAGATCGTAAATTGTATTGACCAATGATAGCCTTAATAATAAATTCTATCCCATGAGAGAAATCCGCAATTTCTAACAAATAAAGAATTTGTTGTCGGCCATTTTGTAAATTAATCGGTGAAGAAAAATATTTCATATAAATGGGTGAGAAATTAAGTGAAGGCCCTTCCAGTCAAGAAAACAAACCAATCTGAGATGGAATTTAAAGAATTTGAGCCGAAGTTTAAATCCGCCAAAACCCGGGTTAAATTAAGCGCCGGCTTAAACCTTGAAACATTTGTTACAATTTTAAGTGGGACCAACCATATTTAAACAGCGGCTTAAATTTAAACCGCCGCTCAAATTCTTTAAATTCGGCCACTGAGGAATTTAAAGAATTTGAGCCGAAGTTTAAATCCGCCAAAACCCGGGTTAAATTAAGCGCCGGCTTAAATCTTGAAACATTTGTTACAATTTTAAGTGGAACCAACCATATTTAAACCGCGGCTTGAATTTAAACCGCCGCTCAAATTCTTTAAATTCGGCCACTGGTATTCTTAGAATCCAATTTGTTGATCTAAATATTTAATCTCAAGACTAACATAATTTCGAGACTATGTTAGTCTCGAGATTAGCAAAAACAGAGGATTAAGCATTAATCCTGATATCCACCATTCTAAAGTTCCCAGAGCTGAAAACTTTAGAATGGTGGATATCGAGATTAATGTTTGATCCTCTTTTTTTGGTAATCTCAAGATTAACATAATCTTGCAAGATTATCTTAAAAGTGTATGAAAAACGATAAAATTCTAATTAATATTTAATCATCTGAGAAACTGTAGCAGCCAATCAGAGTCAGGATTAAAGTTTATCCATTCTAAAGTTCCCAAGATGGGAACTTTTGAATGGGATATCCTTAATCCCGATCGGATAATTAATCTGGAGATTAAAAATGAGTGGAGAACAAGCAATATTTAATCTGCAGATTAAGAAAAAGAGTGGATTAAGCCTTAATCCCGATATCCACCATTCTAAAGTTTTCAGCTCAGCTCAGCTCTGATCTGGTGGGTATCGGGACTAATTTTTGATCCACTCCTTTTCTTAATCTCGAGATTAAATAATGCCTGCTCTCCTCTTGTTATTAATATCCATATTAATAAACTGATCGGGATTAAGGATATCCCATTCTAAATTTTTCAGCTCTGGTCAAATTAAGTTTGTTTCTAGTCTAAAATCACAAGAACCATATCCGTTTTTAAATTAAGTAATTTTTGACATTACTATTTACGCACAACAAATTTGACCACAGTGCTAATTTTATCCCTGTTAATTATCTCAAGCTTCCTTAACCTAAACTGTGAACGAATTTAAAAGATTTGAAAAGAAGCAACACTTTTTTTAAAGTTAAATTCAAGATTCAAGGAAAATACAAGAATACTTGAAATATATAAAATATCTTGTATTGTGACCATTAACAGTTTAAGAAATCCAGAAGTGGAATTTAAAGAATTTGAGACGCGGCTGAAATATGGTTGGTTCCACTTAAATTGCGTTCAATGTTTCAAGATTTAAGCCGGCGCTCAATTGAAACCAGTTTTTGGTGGATTTGAGACGCGGCCCAAATGATTTTAATTCGGACTGCTGCTGTAAACTTGTTACTTTCTTTGACAAATCATTTTATATAACACTTAAAAATTTGTTTAAAAGAAAAAAATCCAGGTTCAACTTGCTGATCATTTATATCTTAAGAGTTTCAGGTCGTCATTACAGGCTCCTTTGTGGGTAACCATATATTTCTCAAATTTGGATGCGTGCAAAGAAAAACATTAAAGTTTCTTCAGGAAATTCCGATAAGATTTTAAAATCTTATTTTATTTTAAGCTACGCTTACAATTCTTTAACCTTCAAGCTGTTAAGAGGACATTGTTGTATGGTATTCTAAAAAATGAGTATAGTAAAGTACCCCACCTTTAATTAATGAAAAATTGTGTGTTTTAGTCTATTATAATTATATTTTATCATTAATAAAATTACCAACATCGCAAACAGTGTACTTTGCATTGTCCCCGTAAAAAACAGTTTGTTCTTACATAATCAGTTATATTCTTCAAACAATCAGCAACTAGAAGCAATATATTCAGTAAACGAGAAGAAACCAGTGTTTTGACTAATTATTATATATAGGGTGTTCGATAGGTCGATCTTTCTTATGCCTAAAACAACACTCAGAATTCTTTTATCCTGCAAATTGGCTTTTAACCAAACATGCATCACAACTCCATACCTTGGCTTAATGATCTTCATCTTTGGAAAGAGGGTGGTGTGGTCAACGTGGTGGGGCTATACCTATATTCAGACCCATCAATATTTTTAGAATCAACGTATTCAGTTAACAGCAAAAAATCTCTCTGAAAACATTTTTTTAATCCCTAGATCAAGCAGTTATCTAAATCTCCTTGTGACAAATCAGCAAAAATAGCTTAAATTGAAGGAGCAAGTAACAATCTCTTAGATTTTAAAGTTGTCACAGTGGATATCGAGATCAAGTGGTAGTTGTAGATAAGCGATATTTAACACAAAAGTTTTGATCTCTGGTTACTTTGTTTAGAACCCCGTCATGGCTCTGTGACAGCACCTGTACGTTCAGCTGAAAATGATGGCCGCAGAACTTTCTCTTTTGGTGCAGTCGCAATGCCGGGGCGCATGACAAGAAAAATTACGCGGCAAATGACGATCTCCGGAGATTCTGCGTATTCCACAGGTAAACTTGAAGGGACTGTAGACAAGGTGCCTTGAAAGTACCGTGAAACCTTTGTCTCAGCAAAAATGATTATTTACCGGAGAATTGGTAATTTTCAATTGTGATTAATTAGAAAAGTTACTTTTAGATTTAAAATATTGTCTCAGAATTTTGTGGGGCTATTTGATAGCCAATATACTTTCTGATTCAAAAATCAACATTGCTCAAAGCTTTTCTCAAAACCTTAAAATTTTCACAGTTTAAATAAAGAAAAATATTCTTGAGGATTTTTATGAATATGTACATTGTACATATTTATTTAATAATTACAGGTGGGGTAAACTCAAGACTGATGAGAGCAATTTCAAGAACATTTACATTAGGATCTATGACAGATGGTTCTAGTTCTACAATACAGGTATCTTCATCTTCATTTTCATTTTCTCCTCATCTTCATTTACATCTTCATCTTTACTTCATCTTCATCTTCATCTTCATCTTCATCTTCATCTTCATCTTCATCTTCNTACATTCTGTTCCGTTCTGTTACATTCTGTTCCGTTCTGTTACATTCTGTTCCGTTCTGTTACATTCTGTTCCGTTCTGTTACATTCTGTTCCGTTCTGTTACATTCTGTTCCGTTCTGTTACATTCTGTTCCGTTCTGTTACATTCTGTTCCGTTCTGTTACATTCTGTTCCGTTCTGTTACATTCTGTTCCGTTCTGTTACATTCTGTTCCGTTCTGTTACATTCTGTTCCGTTCTGTTACATTCTGTTCCGTTCTGTTACATTCTGTTCCGTTCTGTTACATTCTGTTCCGTTCTGTTACATTCTGTTCTGTTCTGTTACATTCTGTTCCGTGCTTGATTAAGAACAGTTCCAGCTGTTCGTTCTTGGTGGATACTCGTTAATGACAGATAACGTTAACGATTTTGATTGTTCCTAGTTTAGAACAAAGGGTTTCAGCAAAAATATTCTGCTATTTTTAAGGATTGATGCATTGGCCCCTATCTCCTGAACTACAAATCTTTCAGATTAAAGAATTGTTCAATAACTCCATATTGTTTAGATTGAGGAGTGGCGGCCGATTTTTGACAAGTTTGATCTTGAAGCGGACGGGAGACATGATGGACGAATTCCAGTTTCTAGATTTCAGGCAATCCTGGAGGGAGATCCCATATGGAAGGTATTATATCTATATAATAATTCTCTACGCTCATGTATATATATTTGTATATTTTTATATGTTAGTTATAGCTGGCCAAATGGGTGGACCAAATTGGCTGACATTCTTTAAAAAAAACCCTTGATTACTCTAGGGGTAACATAGGCTAAAAAAAATGATTTTTTTCCACGGACAACGCCGGGCCCTTCAGCCAGTTCGTTTTAAAAGTAAGGCAGGGGCAGGCAATTTTTAGAGACTGTTACTATGTTTTTTGTCTTTTTTAATAATTTTTTTCATCATTAATATCATTGTGAATAAATTGTTTAGGAATCTGTTCCACAAACTTTAAAGGATCCACGGACAACGCCGGGCCCTTCAGCCAGTTCGTTTTAAAAGTAAGGCAGGGGCAGGCAATTTTTAGAGATTGTTACTATGTTTTTTGTCTTTTGTAATAATTTTTTTCATCATTAATATCATTGTGAATAAATTGTTTAGGAATCTGTTCCACAAACTTTAAAGGATAGAATCATCAAGGTCAGACAAAAAAAAATAAAAAAGGTAAATTTTTTAGATTTCTTCATGCATTTATTTGATTTAGGAAGTAGATATAAACCAAGACGGGGTAATAGATTATGAAGAATTCTTGCTTTTAGGCAACATACTCTGATATTTTTATTTAACGAAATAAATATCGTAATAGTTGTTCGATTGAACATGTTTTACAAAAAAAAAGATTATATTTAGACCTCGCCGGAATAAAAATCAACAAAAATAAAAAATTAAAGTTGACCGCCTTTAGACCAACATTAAAATGACCCATGATGACCCTTTGAATTATACAAAAAAAATTGTCAAAAGAATTAAAATAAAAGATAAAATAATAATTTTTGAATTCAATGTACAAACAAGTATGTAATTGAGATGTGAGATTAGTTTTACAAGCTTTAATTAGGATTTTGTTGTCACTTGTATCACACAAAAAGTATATACGAAAAGAAAAAAAAATATCAGAATTGTACCAGTCCGCGGCAAACATCTGGGTTTGGGCACACGAAGACGACGGGCCTTTCGTCAGCTGCTGCGGGAAACCGTGGAGTTTATTATACCGTACAAATATACATATCAGGTAATCAATCAATCAATCGCCTTATCAATCAATAAGTGTTTAAATCAATCTAATCGTTTTCCATTGTCATTTCTGTTTTTGGATTTTGATCTAATGCATTTACTTTGGTGTAGAAAAACTGCTTTTATCACTCTAACGTTCAGACATGTTTTTAACCATTCACTTGTTTGGCCAACACCATAACTCTCGAACCTGGTTAACCTTCAAACATTTTATTTGGAAATCTGTCACTCGAACTCAAAATGATTAAAGAGCATTTTACAAAACAAAAATATTCTTTTTATTCTTCATTTTTGATTAAAGTAAATTATCTATTTATTCAGCCGATTACTGCAAATAAAGGTATTGATTAAGCTAATTTGTTTATTTCAATATTTTTTTGTTTTGAATTTTTTAGAATGAATATAAGTGTTCTCCTCCTCCCTTGTTTATGCTGTGCCTTAGCTTCCTACAAACAGGGAACCATTCATTCGTTTATTCACCTATACATCCTAATCAACTTTGCTTGCACTCATTCATCCATTCTACATACTTTCATCCTTTGTTAATTCATTCAAAATTCATTCGTTCGTTCATTTATTCGTTCACCCATTAATTATTTATTTCTGAATCGCTATGAATGGTTTATTTAGTTATATTCATTTACAATAGTTATCAAGAAATTGGAGATATAGGTATTCATTTAAAATCATATTATTATTGATAGGTTTATATGAGCCTGTTCCTTATTGCTCTCATCTAATTTATAATCCAAACCAAAGAATTCAAATATGGAGGTAGATAATAAAATTCATATGTGGAAAAAATTACAATTTTTTCAAATCATTTTCATGTTTTAAATAATTTCTTATTTGTTTAGATTTTTATCCTACAGTTTAATTCATTCTGGCCTCTTCCATGTTAGGAAAATTACTCAATTAATCAATAACGTATAAGTAGATAATTTTCAATTTAATCAATATTTTAGTCTTTATTGCAAGTGAAACCAAGTAAAGTGAAACCAGAGTTTATAAGTTTTGGGTTTTAATTGTTCAGTGTTCTTTAGTTTTCAGTGTTTCAAAAGTCCAAAACTGAAATTTTTTTATTTTAATTGATTTATTGATTTTGCAGTTTTAATGTTGTTATTCAACTTATGCTTGGGGTCCCTTTAGAGGTAAGAGAGTAAATAGATCTAGAAAATGCAGTACAACAGAAAATGAAAATTATACAGTTACTAGGTTTATAGGGCGCTTCGCGCCCTTCTTCTATTTAAATTATGAACATGTTCTTTTTGTTTAAATTTTAAAACAAAGAAGAAAAAATTTTGCGGATTTTAAAAAAAATTCTCGGATTTTCAAGAATTTAAATTTTTTACAAAATTAAAAACCTTTAAGCACATTTTTTTAAAATTTTAAAATTTTTATCATTCATAAACCTTCCCTGTGGTCACGTGATGTCCCACAAAAAAGTTGGGCCCGATCGGTTCAGCCGTTTTGACGTTTATTGGATACAAACAAACAAACAAACACCCAAACGCCCAGACAAGCCAAATTTATATGAAGATTTGGATTTTACAAAACAAAGTATCAGAACTACTGCTGGGCATCGTTTTGAGAAACGTTTTTAAACATCAAGATTATTGGAGTTTTAAGGGCTCTACAAAAATTATGCAAAAATTAACTGGCCATAGATATCAGGAAACCCGTGTTTCAAAACGATCCCCTTCTCTAATTCCAACTATCTTGAAGTACCAAACCAAACTCTAGGCTGGTAAAAGTTATACAGTTTACACTATAAACTTACACACTACAGACTGCAAAAGGGGACAGTGCTGGAAAATAATCATTCCCTTCTAGTGAGATAAATTTAAATGTTCTAAATAAGCAATTTACTCCATACATGTGAAATTATATATCCCTAGATGGTAAACGGATGGTGGAGAGTAGCTGTTGTTTATATCTCTGGTGTACTAGCAGGTACAGTAAAGTACAGACCCAAACCCAAATTTTAGTTTACAAAAATGTGTACGGCAATTTCTTGGATGCATTTTAACCAAACCAAACCTAAGCAGCATTTAGTTTGTTTTCATTTCCCTCAGAACAATTTATTTTGCTATCAAAAATTTGGGACATCTTGTGGCTGAACAGAACCCTGTGTGCAATGACACAGCAGTACACCCAACTTGGAAAAAAAGAAAATAATAGATTGTTTTCTCTTAAAATCATATATTTCCTCCAATACCACCTTACATGACGACACATTGGGAAAATATGCCCCAAGAAAATGTATACACCAGTAATATTGTTATCATTATTATTACTATATTAGTTTAATCATCATTATCATTATCTCAGTATCATTATAGTCAAAATTTTTTTCATGATCGTTAGATACCATTACATTATTGCCATTATTCTATCTATATATCTACATATCTATCTATCTATATATATATATATTAGATATACCTGGCAAAACTGAAAACTGAAGATCAGCTAAAAAGAAGATACAACTCAGAGAAACAATACAATGCTCTTTTTAGAATTTTGTTAAAAATTTTTAATTTAAAATAAATTATTAAAAAAAAAGATTTGGGGCAAGAGGGTTTATGGTGTATCTTCATTATGAGTCTATACAAGATAGTCAAGAATTAAAATTTTATGGAATAAAAAAACCTGGAGATAGAAACTTGAGGGAAATGTCACTGGAAATTAAGTCTTGTGTTTTGGTTTCCTGCGACTTGTCCCCTAAAGTATTTACAAACAGGAGCACTGCATGCAGTTTCTGTGATAATTGTGAACAAACCACCGTTTACAGCTCTCAGTTAGTTTATATTCCTCCCAGAATTGTAAAAAAATATTTGCAAGCAAAGATCTGGATCCAGATCCAAGGAATATCCACCTGGAACCCCCAAATATTCCAGTTTCTGTGGAGGAATTCAAAATATCATGACTTTATGGAACCTTTTCTTCTAGGCTCGTTATGGACGAGTATTATCAAACCAGGAGTATTCTTGTCTGGAGGAAGTGGCGGGGTATACGCCCTAATCATGTCCCACCTAGCGACAGTTATTATGAACTACAGGTAACTATCTTTTTATCNTTGTATATAAATATATTGTAAGAAAACCGACTCGTTGAATATTTGAGAAACTCAGTGCATTGCTTTATTGATTTTTATTCATATACAATAATATATCTATCTTTCTATTTATCTAGGGAGATGCCACACCCATTATTACGTGTTGGAATTATTCTAGTTGTAGCTCTAACCGATATTCTGGTTTATCTTTATGATACAGGTAGACTAGACCAGGCTAGACCAGACAAGACCAGACCAGACTAGACTAGGCTAGACCAGACCAGACCAGACCAGACTAGGCTAGACCAGACCAGTCTATACCAGACAAGATTATCCAGACATGACTAGACCAGACAGAAAAGACCAGACCAGGCACGACCAGACAATACCAAATCAGACCAGACCAGACCAAACCAGACCAGACCAGACCAGACCAAACCAAACCAGACCAGACCAGACCAGACAATTTAGACCAGACCAGATCAGACCAGACCAAACCAGACCAATTAGAACCAAACCACCCTTTCCAGATAAAATTTAAAAACTCTAGAACTTTTTTCTAGTTATACTTGGAGAGCCTGGAAAGCCTATCTCTTATCCAGCTCATGTAGCAGGGGCCATAGCAGGTATATAATTTATTACAGACTCTATAGCAGCGCAGGTACGATATGTTTAAGCTATAGCAATTAGAATATATTGCAGTGCAGGGGCTGTAGCAGTTAGGATGTATTTCAGGGGCTGTCGCAGGTACATTATATATTACATGGAATGAACAGTAGGTACAAAATATTTTATTTTGGCTTTATCAGGTAGGATATATTCCAGGGGCTACAGTAGTTAAGATATATTGCAGAGGCTATATAAGAGGTAGGAGGATATATTGGAGGGGTTTATATAGCAGGTATGATATTTTGTGGGGGCTATAACAGCTAGAATATATTGCAGGGCCTATAGCAGTTACATAAAATATCGCAGGGGCTATATGGCGAATACAGAATAGATTGCAGGGACTATATAGCGGATACAGAATGTATTGCAGGGGCTATACGGCGGATACAGAATATATATTGCAGGGGCTGTTCGGCGGATATAGGATATATTGCAGGGACTATATAGCGGATACAGAATAAATTGCAGGGAAATGTAGAGAAGACAGATAAAGGAAAATACTAAAATTTCTTTTAGAATTAATAATTCTAGCTTTTAATAATTAGGACTGTTTTCTGGTGTTCTGTGTTTAAAAAATCTATCATGGGAATTTTTTCAAAGGTAAAATAATTTGATTCTCAATTTATTAATCCAAATATTAAAAAAATAAAGTTTTTAAAATATGTTTATTTTTATTTCTATTTTTATTATTAACATGGTATGGTTAATAGAATATTATCATTATTATTTTTACAGTGGAAACAAAATGAGTTTCGATACACTTTTTTTTGCATCATTTAGCTAGTTCTTTAACCTTAGCTAGTACTGTCTACCCAAAACTTAATTTGTTTTCTCTTAAAATCATATATTTCCTCCAATACCACCTTACATGACGACACATTGGGAAAATATGCCCCAAGAAAATGTATACACCAGTAATATTGTTATCATTATTATTACTATATTAGTTTAATCATCATTATCATTATCTCAGTATCATTATAGTCAAAATTTTTTTCATGATCGTTAGATACCATTACATTATTGCCACTATTCTATCTATATATCTACATATCTATCTATCTATCCAACTCACTATCTATCCATTTATCTAACTTACTATCTATCTACAGTCATGACCAGAAAACTCTGGAATCAGATATCGACCTTTAGACTCCAGTTTTGACTTTAAATATTCCAATGAACATAAAGCACAGCAGTTTTGCGGTGTAAACAGACCCATTTCATTTAATAAGTGCGTTAATAACTTACAAGTAAAGCTATTTGCTTTGTAACAACGTCAAATTGACTTAAGTAGGTCTGAAAAACCGTCTTCTTAATCTAATGTTTTCTGGTTAGCACTGTCTCTATTTATCTATCTATCTAACCCACTATCTATCTATGTATCTATCTATCTAACTCACTATCTATCTATCTATATATATATATATTTATCTATCTATTTAGGGTTGCCTGGTGGATATGCCTGGTACTAAGTATAGTGCTAAGTCTGATAGCTCTAGTGTGGAATATGGCGGATCAATCTCATTTTGTTAAACTTACAATTTCGTTTAATTGCTCAAATAATAAAGTAATTATTTAACATCTTTATCTATTTTGTATGTTTATATCTAGAGGATGATTTTTTTATCGTTAAAGGGAGTGTTCGCGAAAAATGAAAGGGGGTATAGGCTTAATGCGATAAAAAAGAGCTTTTGATCGCTACTAATCTTACTTCTATCTGTTGCGTCTATAAGGAGAAAATTGATAAAGACGTCTCATACCGAAGAGCGTAGCGCCCATACAAATTGAGGAAGTCGGAACATACGAATTAGACCGTAAAAAAATCAAATTAATATCAAACAAATCATTCAGATAAAAAATTAAAAAAAGATAGATATTCACATTCACAAAGAATTTAGAATTGATAAATTGCGACTATGTATAAAGTAATGGAATCTAAAATCAACTTTATATTATTCGAGGTAATTTAGGAATATAAGTTACGCAGACGAGTTATAGGAGTCGAATAGAGTTGGGAGTCGAATCGAAGGAAGATAGACTAAAAATATTGTAGCATAGACTCGAAGCAAGGGCTGGCCTGTTCAAAAAGATGATTCGGAGATCAATTATGAGAACATTTATGAATTGAGCTTGAATGAATGCATCAGTATCAATAATAATTTGCTAAATCAATTGAGACAATTGTTGAAATGAAAATATACATTTGATTTATACCCATTATTGAAACCAAGATTCTGAATTAATATCAAAAATATTCTTTAATTTTGTTAGTTCTAGGCTTTAAGGGGGCTTCGCGCCAGCTTTCCTATTAAAAAGTTTAGCTTTGAGCTCTGAACGTCGCAATTTGAAATCTTTTTCAAATTTTCGCGGATTTGTCATGGTTTTAATTGTGCATTTTCAATCATAATTAATTTCGTTATTTTTTCAGGACAATGTTTTCTTTTAATTTTACCAGCCGTAAACCTACCTAATTTATAAAGATGAACTGGAAGTAGATTAAATTATCTTCATATAATAGCACAAGTTCACAACTAACTAAAACTAATCAATACTAATACAGATACAGTTTATGGTAACCAGTGAAATTGAGTATAGCGTAAACAGGTCATACAGCAGCTGAAATAAAAAATGAAAAAATTGAACGTTAAATTACAGCAGTAGGATATAAATTAGAAATAGGCTTTTCAAACTATGAATTCTGTTATATCAAACAGTGGAGACCTGTCCCCGACCAAAATAATTAACGCAATTATGTCGCCGGGGACTAGATCTGTGATTGGCGGTCTGGCAATAACGTCGGATGTCCGTTGTAAATTGTTAATTTCACAATCTAAGTGAAAATAAACAAAGAGTACAAATCGTAAGACCTCACTTTATTATTGATTTAGTATAGTCACTTCAATTTTGGTGTGTGGGTGTAGGACATCCCTAAAAGCATGATTTGATTTGATTTAAAGTGAATGAAATGAAATAAAATAAAGATAAACTATTCGTCAATGTATGTTCCTCATTTTTGTAAATATAATCTAGATTTAAAAATCGAATCCCTTGAATTAAATTTAAAATGTTCGACCTATAGTTGTTATAGATTCAGATTGAAGAAGAGTAGACAGTTAGTAAGAACAAAACAACCTTTTCAATTTTCTAGCTTTGATTAAAGCTAGCAAACAGGGGAGAATATTATGAGGGGGGGGGCTCTAAGAAATATTGTTTATGTGCAGTCGGTATACACTTTGTCACTAAGTAAGATAAGAAGATAAAAGATTTTAAACAATCAAATGCTAACAAAGAAATTGGAGAATAAAATAAAATGATTAATATCACGAAACTACAGTACATCCATTACAATTAACTGAATAGCTAAGCACTGCCAATATACGCATGTTATTTAATTTGTTAAATAAGATAACAAAACTTAAATAGATGATTTGCTGTTTCCAGAATGTGCAATACCCCAATAATAGAATGAGGAACACAACTAAGCCTATCTTACCGCTCATTTGAGTACTATTGGAGACTCCCTTTCGTTGGAGACACCCATATTTTCATTGGAGATCCCATATTTTCATTCGAGACCCCATATTTTCATTGGATACCCCCAGATTTTGATGGGAGACCCACAGATTTTCGATGGAGACCCCCAAATTTTCGTTGGAGATCCCCAGATTCTCGTTGGAGACCCCCAAATTTTATTGTAGACCCCCGGAATTTCATTTGAGACCCCTATATCTTTATTGGGAACCCTTAATTTGGTTGTCTCCAACAAAAATATGAGGGTCTCCAACAAAATATGGGGTCCCCAATGGAAATATGGGCGTCTTTAACAAAAATATGGGGTTCTCCAACGAAAATATGGTGGTCTCCAACAAAAATATGGGGGTCTCTAAAAAAGGGTCGTCTCCAATAGTACTCCAATTATGATTTCTTCTCAAACTCCATTTGGAGCATGCTTAACTATATTACAGTTAACATAGTTTTCATGTGCTGCTTTTATTATTCATGGTTCTCCACCTCCCCCAAACAAAACTTTATTTACTTTAGCTTTTTTTGTTTATTTATATTATTTAATTGCAGTTAAAAAGTAATTAAAAGCCTCTACGTAGTGATATTAGTTTAAAAAATTCTAGATTATGTAGGAAAGTAAGATAAGACATAGCATATAAAAACATAGTAGATAAAGGCTTCAAACAATCATAAATACAGCATGAGAGTAATAACAGGAGCTTTGCTCCTGACTGGTGTTGCTTTGGCAGAACCTCTGTTTAATATTAAAGTTCAAGATTTGAAATCAGGAAACCTAGACTGGAATAAGTTCAAAGCAGCATTGGCTACTGATGGAGCCTTCTCCGTAACAGGGCTCTCTTCAGAGTACTTGAACGCTGTTCAAGCACTTTCAGATGTTGCTCCAAACTGTTTCAAGTCCCAAAGGCTTCCCAAAATCATTCTTGCTGATGGTTCTGTTCGATCTACATATGCCACCAATATTGAGAATGCATACCCAGATTGTATCCTTGAAGCTGGGTCTATTATTAATCAAGAGTTTTCTGACGTCTTTAACATTGTAGCTGGAATTCTAGAGCAGGCTGTTGGCGCAGAACGTCTGAGCTATAAGGAAAATGAGGATGGAGAGGAAAGGATGTTTAGTTCTCTACAGTATAAGGATCATATTCATGTTTATGAGAGTGTTGACTCAAAACAAAATGAAGATTTATCCTTATCTTTCCACACAGATAGTGGAGTTCTTCTAATGCTTACACCGGCTCCTGAGGTACCTCTCATAGTACAAAACATCCACAATGAACTTATCGATACATCAACTACACCAGCCAACTCGATTATCTTTATTATTGCCAGGGGACTTCCTGATTGGCTGTTGAGAGGCACTCCAGAGGCTGCTGAATTCTTTACCGCTCCTCATGCTGTACCAAGTCTAAAAGGAAGAGCCATCACACGTACGGTGTTTGCTCGCATGATGGTTGCTCCCCTTCAAGCAATTCCTTCTGATTTTAAAACTCATAAAACCCAATTTCAAGACATCTTTCTTCAACGTACGGTGGAAAAGCCAGGAGAGCTTTGCCCATTGGACCTTACTACTGAAGATCTTGCTAAAGACAATAATCAATGCGGTGATGATCCTGAGCTTGCTCTCTGCTGGATGTCCTGCCTAGTTCTACCAGACTGCAATGGAGATGAGAAGGTAGTATGCACAAACCTTGTTGGTGAAGCTTGTTGCTCCGAGTATGATAGCCCTGATGGATGCTTGGATATGGACACAACTTGTGAATGGAAATGCGAAGCTAACATCCTGCCATTTTAAAGGAAAAATAAGCATTTTAAACCCTAAATGATAAATTCAAAATTTTCGTTTAATAAACAGATTTGATTTTTTGAGGTTATAGATTTTAAAAATAAAAAATACTGAAAAGTAAACGCGAATGTAACATTCATGTATCACCTGAGCCTAAGAAACTCCGAATTGACTACGGGACAAAGGGACCCCTATTGTTTCCTAATCATTATATGGTTTAATGTGAGAGGGATCTAACTATCATATATCGATTCTGAGCGGGAAACTTTTGTCACAATCGTTTGATATCGATATCCTCAGTGGGTACTTGATCTTTTGATTTTGAATATCCCTAGTTTCGCTGTTCTCTCCTTGATTGGCTTCCAATTAACTGTTCATTTCTTTACTTCAGGGGATATCTAATAAAGATTAAATAAATCTCTAGATTGAGATCATCAAACCTTGATATCCGCAGCAGAAGAGTTACTCCCTTTTTATACATGATTTTAAAACTATTATAGGGGGTTCTTCATATATGATTTAATGAAAGACAGATTTTTTGTTTTTATCAAGAATTTTCATAATCAAAACTAACTTAATAATCATGCATTCCCAATATTTATAATATGTTTTTTTTTTCTTTGTCTCTTGTAAAGAATCGTTTGCTATAAATATATAACATTAAGAAGAGACAAAGTTTTGGATTGGTTTTCCAGTTTTTGAGACGTCTTTTTTAAGACGTTGCCGGACATATTTTTTTTACCAAATTCAATTTACATAATCCAATTGGGCTGCAGTCCGGAGTTATGGATTTAATGCCTCCCAACCCAATGTTGCAGTAAACATTTTGCGTAAAACAGGTTTACGCAAAACAGGTTTACGTAAAACAGGTTTACGCAAAACAGGTTTGCGTAAAACAGGTTTACGAGTACCAGTTCTAAAATATGTCCTGCAGAAATCAATCAAGGCAAAATCCAAGAAACGCTTTATTTTCCCAACTCAAATACAAACTTTCAATCAATCCAAAATTCCATGATAATTTAATTGAACAAATGAACTTAATTAGTCCCCAATCTGCAAAGTCACTTACTCAAGCTTATAAACGAGGTCCTTTTAATATGTTTTACTTAAATTTTTTAAAAGTATCTGCTCTTTAATTTTTAAGTTCAATATATTCAAACCAGATGCTTTCTCTGAACGGGCTATTTTCAACAGAACTTTGAGCACAAATAACACCACAAAGACCCCACAAATAGTCGACAAAATTAAAAATTTCTCATACCAACTTCTCAAGGCTTCTTAGTTAATAATTGTCGATGAGTTCGACATCTGCTATGGGGGTGCATGAGAAGTTGTTAAGCAGGATTTTAATATTAAATATAATAATGATTTACCCTCTTTGACATTTATATGTTAAAAAATCTCTAGTACACGCTTTAATGGATAATAACTCACACATGATGAAATATTTAGGCTGTGACCTCGAATCTTTCAATCCAAGCCGAGTAGAATAAAACTACTACACATATTTATTTCAAATGGGCAAAACTTAAATATTGAAACAAGAAATTTTAAACAAATGATAAGGCATGAGAACAAGTTTTCGACGATTCTTTAATTCATTTCCGAAAATATCCTTATTTTGAAACATTACTGCATTTCGGCTCATGTTTTTTTGTGAAACACATCCTGCATTCGAGACACTTACACAAAATCGTATGAAAGTAAATTTTCATACCATGTTTTTACGTACTTTTGCAAGCGAGCCACCATTCTGAAAAGGTTAAAATTACAAATAAAAACAAACCGAGCTGGTTAAGAAAAGTCAAAATCCCGATCGCTTGAACTCGATATCCACTGTGGGCATTTTTAATTTGAGGATCATTGCTTAATCTCTTCATTTCAATTATCCTTCCAGGGTACAATGGCCATTCTAGATTTAGTATGAAGATTAAATTAATTTGCAGATTAACCAGCATTGATCTCGATATCTATCTGGTTTTTCATAAACATAAATTGAGAAATTAAAATATCAATATTATTGTGTTATTTTAAATAAAGACTCGCTGAATTTTTAACCAGGACCTTAATTTATGGCATACTAGACCAACTTTCATGAATTTGAGCAATGTCACTGAACTGCCTACCGCCGGTTCAAAATGGAACCACTGAATGAAAGTAAAAAATTAAGGAAGGATTTGAATTGGTGATTCAAATTTGAACAGGTGGTGGGCAATTTAAATTAATTTAATTTGGTCTTTGGATTCTTAAATGTCAGAATACCAACTATTTGACAAAGGAGACAAGACAACGAGACAAATTGCGAGTGGAGACATGCTCCTGGTTCAGAAAATGCATGGAGCATATGTATACTCATGATACTCAAGTATATTCTATATGTAGTACCGTAGCCAGAAACTACCTGGGGGTGGGGGTGGTAGTTGTTATTTGCGTTTTGCAATAAGACCCAGGAACACCGAGGGAAACGTTTTGAACGACCCCCCCTCTTTAACAGTCATCCATAGTTTTATACAAAGAGTGTCTTGATTTTCAAAATATGGTTCTATCACGAATTGGATCACAATTTGTGATTGTTTTTTATTTAGAGATCTAAAAAACTTCATTCTAAACTATTTGATTATGAGTTCAGAGTCCAAATTTAATGAATTTGAGTCGCGTCTCAAATCCCCTAAAAAACGGGTTCAATTGAGCTTAAATCTTGAAACATTGAATACAATTTTAAGCGGAACCAACAATATTTGAGCAGAGGCTGAAAGTAACAATTATGATTCTTAGAAAAATGTTTAAAAACTGATATTTTTCCTAAAACTTATTCCACTTAAGATCATCAAGATAGAGCCAATCAAAATTGAAACGCTAAGACATCTCTATTTGTGCAAATGCATATTCATATAAATGAGACATTTTGACATTGAGACACACTGAGAAACCTCTTTTCGAACATAAGGGTGATTCGGCGCTTGCTTAGATAGTACGAGGTGTGATCAAGTTCATAGGGGTATACTTCTAAGCTTTAATTTTTTTTTAATAGTTCACTATAGTTCATACTGGATACATTTTTGGCCAGGTTGGCGTCAATTATTTTGTTGTTGTGATGTAAGACGTATTCTCCTGAAGGTGGATTTGCAGCTTTGTTGTCACAGCACAGGAATATCTGGAATATATTGAAAGTAAAGATGACACTTTGGAGATTCGGTTACCCAAAAATGTTTTTATCATGCAGTTGATGCGAAAACCAACCAGAACCCTTAAACATGATCCAGAACGCATTTTAAACGATTTTATGAACTTTAATGGTAGTTTAATGGGGTGAAGAAGGAAGAAATGAATATTTGATTATGACATGTCCGGACCGGAAAAGACCATCAAGGCCCCAAAAATGTTGAAAATTGTTCAAACCTTTTTAGCAAGGAGTTCAAGAAGTATGTTTGCCAGACAGCCTGATATTTGCTTTTACATTGTAGACAATGTTGTAAAGAAAAATTTAAAGATGACAAAGGTCTGGGTTAAAGGAGTTGAGTTTTTGCCACAAACTCCAATTTTCTAATCAATTTATCTTTGCAACCGGCTGCTGTAAACCTTTTACATTTCAAATTTATATTTGATTTGTCAGAATTCTTAGCTTGAAATGTCAAAGGTCTACAAGAACGGGTTGCAGAGGTACAGGGATGAAAAAATCAGAGTTTGGGGCAAAAACTCAACTCCTTTGTCCCAAAGTCTCTGACATAGGACCAACGATTATGATTATGGATCTTAAATGTAAATCAAAGCCAGAGAAAAATACTTAAAAGTCCTTTTTACATCAAATTCTCAATCTTTCCTTTCTTTTGATCGCTCTTAAAGAGTCTAAAATAGACTCTGATGGGTCAAGTTTGAGACCATTCTGAAAATTTTCTTGCTGTGATGAACGAAGCTGATACACTTTCGGGAGAACTTACAAACATTACAACAAAGATTTGATTGACATCAACTGATCTGAAAAATAATCTGGCATAGATAAATTGAACTTTCAAAAAAATTCCGAAACTTATTGATCACACCTCATATTCATGAATGAATGAGACACAAGACACCATTTATTGTCTTGTCAAGTGTACAAAAGCCTTAGCGGTCCAGAATATCTCAGTATGAGTTAAAGGAATTGCGTGAAGAATTATTTTAGATTTATATACATTTTTTATTAAAACTTCCTCTTTAACAATTTTAATCATGCAACTTTTTAAATTACATGAATAGAATTGGCCATAGGGTGTCTAAAAAACGTTCTTCTAGATTCTAAATCTCCATGGAAAATGTTTTGATTTTTTATATTCGAAGCAATTTTGAAAATCTACGTAAAATTTTCAATCGTTTGATTTTCCGATAAGAGGAACAGGTCTTCCTGTTCAGCCCAAAAATTAAGAAAATTTTGAATGTTTTAAGTTTGCCATTTTGACAGGGTTGGAAATTAATATTGTTTGAAGCATGGTTACCTTTATGTTTGTGTTTTTTTGGGACACCTTGTAAGTTTTTAGTATTATTAACAGAGACTGAAAATCTGCTTTAAATGATCCAATTCACTGAAGAGAACTTTAATAGTAGCAAAAGGTTAGAACATACAGTAACATAACACTTTTAAGTGATATTCTTAATTCTGTGAGAGAAAAAAATAAGTGAAAAGATTTTTAACCGGTTTTACCAAGGAGAATTGAATACAAGGAGTGGGCCATAGGGTTTCCGTACACTTTGCTGTGACGTTTTTGGACTGCTGGAGAACTAGTTTTTGCGTAACAACAATAATAAAGATTATAAATAATAACACAAATGATAAATAGACATCTGGCGCATCTCTGGCGGTAAATGAAGATTCACCGTATACTAACTCATGTTTGTTTACATTAGATCGGCTGCCTTTGTTATTGTTGTTACCCAGAAACTAGTTCTCCAGCAGTCCAAAAACGTCACAGCAAAGTGTACGGAAACCTTATTGCCCCCTCCTTGTATTCAATTCTCCTTGGGTTTTACAATTGGTAAGCAAAAAATTTTTTTAACATAGATAACATTCAAATGTCTTAGCAAAGTTAATTTTTATAAAGCTTTTGTGGGTTTTTGTCAAAACCCGCAGAGTCAACAGAGTAAAAAAAAACTTTACAAAAACTTGTTTAAGCTGCAGGGGTGAAACTAGGACCTTTTTCAAGGAAGAGCGAATTTAATTTTTATGGTTACAGAGGTAACCTGTGTAGAAAAATGTTTTTGAAAAAATTGGTTTTAAGAATTTGAAATAAAAAACTGAATTTTTAGGCTGCTGCATGCAGATTTAGTTCAGTGCAAAAAGATTTTTTAATATCCTTTGGCTTGTTCTTGTGTCTTAAAAAAATGTACACTTCCCACAGCTGTAAAATGAACGATATGAGCCAATTCGTTAAATGTATGCACGAAGCGCAAAATAAAAATTCTGTTCTACGGAGTGACTTTTCTCCCCATTTTAATGGTATATCTTTTCTTAGCGTCAGTTAGACCCTGACTTAATCATTATAGTCCTATTATAGTCGTTATAGTTTATATACTAGTCCCTTTATTAGTCTGCAGTAAGTAGTTCCTACAAGTCCTGTGAGACTATACCTTTGTCTGTCTATCTATCTATATATAAAAATTTATACAGTGAAACCCTTAATAACGAATACATCGAAAGAATTTATCAAATGTCGTCTTGACAATTTTTCAATGAGTTTTATACTATATTACGTAAATTTCAGTATTTGCGAAAATAAATAAATAGCCATGAATATGTGGGAACAGTTTATAAAGAGTTCCATATAATCATTTAATTAAAAAACTAAATATCTGCAACATTCCATTATCAGAAAGTGAAGAATACGACATTTGATGAATTCTTTCGATGTATTCGTTATTAAGGGTTTCACTGAATATAATATATGTATAGTCTTTCTGTGATCCCTCTACCCTCGTTTTCCATAAGGGGCTAATACTCATTTTCTTCGCTTATAGCTTACAAAAGTCCTGGTAGGCTGATAAAATCCTAATTTTTTCTAGATATTCCCCTGTCACAATATTACATTTCTTGGTCGTCAGTTTTCGTATCCTTAAATGTCATGTTTTGTAATAAGAAGTGAGAAATTAAGAATTAACATGTGTATAATGTATATATATAGTTTTTTTGAGAGAGAGAGAGTGGATAAATTAAGTTTAAAATTTCTTTAAATTTAAGACTTTCTTTAAACTAAAAGAAATCCTATAAGAAATTTAGGTATTTTTTTCTTAATTTGCAAGATTTAATAAAAAGTGTCCACAATCATGATCATGATCGGGGGTTAGGCCGAAATACAGGGTGTCCCACGAAACATGACAATAGCAAGACGACTTGAAATTCGTCTTTAATATTTGAATTTATATGTGACATTTATGAATGTTGTCTTGAATGTTTTATGTTAAATGTTTTTAAAAAAAACTAAAAAACGGCCGTTTTTCGTTTTTCTAAAATAGATCATTTCGTTTTTTAAAAAATCCCAAACTTTTTGAAAACGAACAACTTGTATTGCAAGTTTTAAAATGGTCTGGTCTTTTTTACAATAGAGGTTTTTAAAATAGAGTTTTTTGATACAATGTGAGTATAAAAATGAGATTCTCAAATTAATTCTTTAAATGGTATAAAAAATGAATCATTTAAAAATAATCTTGACACATAAAAGCATGGGAGGGTAGAGATGGGCACTGGGTAATGATCTTAAAATGGTTTGGAAAGAAGGTATGGGGGACATTTTATTTTTTCCACAGGCCCTACCCTAGGGCAGCCCTGCCCTAGGGTGACCCTGAAAAAAATCACAGATGTGCGACACATTTTTTAGGAATCATAAAACTAGCTTAAATAAGAAATTTTTGCATTTTAAAATAATTTTCCCATTTTTGGCCTTTTTGCCTATTCACGGCTAAATAGGTTTAACTCAGTCAACTTTTAAGAGATTTTGATGAGTGATACCATTATGAAAATCCTGCAATTGCACTGGAAACATGTTTTTAGTGGTTTTTTTTGGGCAATACCTTACATATATTCTTCTAAACTTGTAAATAAAACATTTTTTAGGCTATTTCTGAACTGTAAAAATATTTTCAAAATCCATGTTTAGTTTGAAACAAAAAAAAATACTTTTACTATTCCCAGATGGTTAGAGTTGACAAAATTAAATTGATTCACAGCCAAAATTCTTGAAATAGATTATAAAAAGATTAGAATGCTAAACAGTTTAAAAATGGTTAAAATTTGATGAGCTCTTCAAGTGTGCAACTTGAGCAAGTACATTTAGCTTTGAGCTTTACTTTATTTTGACACCAAATACAACAAATAATACTACCGCAAAGTACAACAATTCTGTTAAAAGCTATGTTCCATCTTCAAACTTACTTGCTCAAGTTAGAACATTCCTGTTCGGACACCATCTCATTAAATGAAAAATAGAAAATTTTATTGTTCTCAATTTTAAAGCTTAAACGAGCACTTTGACTCAAAATCCCTTTTTCGGGACATTCTGTATTATTTGGTAAAAAGTGTTAATTACAAATATTAAACAAGGAAATTGAGACTTCTTGAATTCATAGCACGTATTTTTGGACAGAAAGGGCAAACAAAATTATGTAATATTTTTAGAGAATCTCATCTAAACTGATAATGAAAATTGTCGTCTTCATCATTTTTGAAGATATCACCCTCACCATTCCCATCATTGTTTTCCTGGCTCTACACGACGATGTATTTTAAAATTTATAAAATTAAAACGATAAATGAAAAACTTTCTTACATAAATACGAAACAAATGGCGAGGTTTTTTATTACCAATTTTATTTTTAATTTGATTAAAAGTAATTGTACACGTAATTTCAAGTAACCCTTTATGCTAAGATAACAATTTTTTATTCACAATGGTATCCTTCAAGCTTTCATGTAAAAATGGGCCTTGATCAAGCTCTGTTATTTAAAATCGTGGTTTCTCTACTTGCATATTTCTACAACGGTAAAATATATGGGAATTATCAGAATTTAAATGTTGAAAACAACATTATCTCCAACATTATTAATAAATGTTTCAAGGGTACTGTTGTGAATCACATATTGCCAGCTTTACATGTTTTGTGTATCGTGTGCTCAGTGTGCGTGTGTGTGTCGTAAGTTTGTGTAGGTGTGTGTATGTGCAAGTATTCATGTGCTATGTGAAGAATGTGAACTGTGCAGTTACCTGAGGTTGAAAATCCAAGAAAAATGTTTCTACTTCAGAGCCAAATGTCTTGAAGAAACAATTCACTCAATAGATCCAACCTAAATCAAAATATTTTGTGTACATTTATAAGTTAGAAAACCGACGTTGACCAGGTTTATATCAATATTCAGTCATAGCTACTTCCACCCAAGGATGTAAGGCAAGGAAAGTCATTTCAGAAGTGTACACATCTTTAGTACTGCAGTGTACTGTCTCTGGGCGCTAATGTAAACACACGACGGATGTCGAAGCCTGACATACGTCTNAATTTAATGCTTTTAACCTCCTCGGATACTTAACAAACACTGATGCATCTATTATTGTTTACAAATTCCCCCCAAAGAGAACTGGTTTCAATATGTACACAGAGTATACACAACCGCAATTGACTTTCCTTGCCTTACATTCTTGCTTCCACCATTCCCCTAAGCTTGGTATTTATTTTATTTTAGTGGAAATGTCAGCCAATTTAGTCAGCTTTAAAACAAGATCAATAAATAACCAATTCGTTTTAAGACTATCAGGTCTAAAACAACCCCCCCCCCTCTCCCCAATAATTCTGGTGGTTAATTTAGATCAAAATCAACACAAAATTAAAATTGTAAAAACTACACACAGAGATTCAAAACTCAGGAAACACAAGCTATAAAGCTTGCATGATCAGAATGTTTATAGTTTAAGACCAGTAAGAGACCAGTTAGGTAACTTGACCTAACCCAACCAATCGCGACCTAATCTGGAGAATTATTCTAGAGAAATATTCAGGAATTTTGGGGGAAAATTACAAAGAAATTCCCAGGAATTTCTCAAAACTAATTCTCTTATTTAGTTCCCCTAAAAATCTGTTAACTTGGTGACCAAGTCCTAAGAATTTCTCAAGAATTTCCGGAGAAGTATTTCAGAAAAATATTCAGGAATTTCTTGGGGTGAAATTCCGGAGGAATTGTGAAATTCCGGAGGAATTCCCAGGAATTTCTCGAAACTAATTCGCTTATGAAATTCCCCTAAAAATCCGTAAATATGGTGACCTAGTCCCAAGAATTTCCGGAGAAATTCTCAGGAATTTCTTGGGGTAAAAATCCGGAGAAATTCCCAGGAATTTCTCGAAACTAAATCCCTTATTATATTCCCCTAAAAATTCGTAAACTTAGTGACCAAGTCATAAGAATTTCTCAAGAATATCCGGAGAAGTAATCTGGAGAAAATCTCAGAAACTTCTGGGGTTGAAATTCCGGAGAAATTCTCAGGAATTTCTCGCAATTAATCTCTAATTTAATTCCCCTAAATATCAGAGAAAATTGGTGACCAATCCGCAAACATGGTGACCAAGATCTAAGAATTTCTCGGGAATTTCCGGAGCAGAATCCAGAGAAATTCTTAGAAATTTTTTGGGGGAAATTGCGGAGAAATTCCCAGATTTTTTTAAAACTAATTCCCTTATTTAGTTTCCCTAAACATCCGCAAACATGTTGACCAAGTCCTAAGAATTCCGAAGAAATTCTCAGGAATTTTTTGGGGTGAAATTCCGGAGAAATTCCAAGGAATTTCTCGAAACCAATTCTCTTATTAAATTCGCCTAAAAATCCACAAACATGGTGACCAAGACCTAAGAATTTCTCTAAACTAATTCCCTTATTATATTCTCCTAAAAATCCGTAAACTTAGTGACCAAGTCATAAGAATTTTTCAAGAATATCCGGAGATGTATTCTGGAGAAATTCTCAGAAATTTCTTGGGTTCAAATTCCGGAGACATTCTCTGAAATTTTTTTAAACTAATTAATCTCTAATTTAATTCCCCTAAATATCAGTGAAATTGGTGACCAAGTTCTAAGAATTTCTCAGGAATTTCCGGAGAAGTATTCCGAAGAAATTCTTAGAAATTTTTTGGGGAAATTCTGGAGAAATTCGCAGGAATTTCTTGAAACTAATTCACTCCAATCTATAAACGTATTTATGATTGTTTTTTAATCTAAATGAACTAAAGGGCCCAAATCAGGAAATAAAGGTATGGTCGAGGATAAAATTATACAAATAATTTTTAAAGACTTTGACCAAGCGCTTGGACTAACCTCTTCACTAGAACATTTTTAACTTCTTCAGTTGTTGGTCTCCTTTGCTAACTTCATCATTCATTTTTTGTTTACAGATTACACAACTTCTATATCTTTATTGTATTAGATAATAATTTTATAACAATAAGTTGTCCCTGTATAATTGTGCCCTAGGGTGACCCTGAAAAAAATCACAGATGATGCAGTTGAGGGATTGAGTAATATGAAACGGGGAGGGGGGGGGGGGGAATGTTTTATACTATTCTTATAAAGATTAACATACAAAGATAGAGACAAATATATTATTAGTTTAAATTTGTTTAGAAATTTCAAGTAAACATAGGTTTACAAAAACTTTTTGCAATATTATGCAAACAATAGGCGACAAAGATCATTACATAACGTATTTCTCATTTCAGTTATTACGTTATATCGATCCTTCAACATATAAATCATTTATTCTTGTATATAATACACAGTGATGAAAATACTGCTAAGCTCTCGTGGTAATATCGATGAGAATTTTTCCAATTAGTTCTTGATACAGGGTGTCCCACGAAACATGACAGTTTGTGAATAGTTTTGAATGTCTTTTTCCATATACTATATTAGATATTATAGAATTTCTGCAGTTTATTTAGTTTAAAAAATCTTTTACTCAAATATATTTTACTTTGAAATCAATTTGACTTTAATATGGCTGGCATGAAAATTTTTATATTATTCACTTAGGGTTCAAACAACTCATCAAACTATGGAAAAAGACACATTAAGCTTTTACCAACTGTCATGTTTCGTGGGACACCCTGTACCTAAAGTTAAAAACTAATGCTTGGTTAAGTTCTAAAGTTTACATGTCTAGGGCTACAAAAAGTATAATTAAGTTAGTTAGATAAAATCGAAAATCAAGACATTGGGACACTTTAAGGTCTGCTCAGTCTTGAAAATTATACAAATTTTCATAGCTTTCTGTATCGATAGTTTTCATAGCTTTCTGTATCGATAGTTTCATAGCTTTCTGTATCGATAGTTTCAAAGCTTTCTGTATCGATAGTTTTCGTAAAATCTGAACTTTCCATGCATGCTCGATCCAACGGGACATCAAAATGTTTTTTAATTTACATTTCACTAAGATCAGATAGATTTACAAAAAAAAAATTTCAACGGAAAATAAATTTTTGCCGAGAACTGTGTTAGAACAGTTGCATCAAAAGTCTCATTAAATAAATACATTGAAACATTGTAAAAGTATTTCATTAAAGTACTTTAAGTACTTTACGTTTAAAGTACTTACACATTAAGTACTATACGTAAGGAATTCTAATAGTAGTATTCCGTAATTCATGCTGTAGATAAATTTGAAAAACATTAGAAACTCAAGTCCCAAATACTAAATCCATCAAAACTGCAGCGATAATTATTGTTCAGTTTCAAAATAACATCTGCATTGTTAAAATAAAATTCTTGGTTAAGAGAATGAATCTTCGAAATAAAGATCGCTCCTTTATATTGCCATCTGTGGTCATTAAATTATCACTTTGCAGAATATTTCCTAAATGTTTCAAGTAGTTAACAAACGGTAAAATGTAACTTATTCAATAAAAGTGGGGTTATTTTATTGTAAATAAGTAACCCTTTCCCTAGAAAAAATAAGGCCTTTTATTTGACATTTTTCTATTCGAATATTTGTACTTATCAGCTAAGTAACTTAAAAAAAATTTCACAATTTTCCCGCATTTTCCTGAAGACCTGCTGTTCTGCTGCTAGCAGAATTATATCATATGTATATACTTAGATTCCCATATAGACACCACGCATTTCGCATCCAATCGTTGAGTATCGTAATAATTTAATAAATTTGTCAATGTATGTATATGAAGAATAGCACAGGTGTAGAAACTGCTCCCGGTCTAACTCTTTTTTGTACATTAAAGGTATTTAAGAGAGCATTACCCCACCTAAAATTACATTTTTGATTTGACTAAATAAACATTAAACTAAATTCTAGAGGTGAAACAACCCTCTTTAATAACTCTAGTTATTACAAATCAAAGCCCTTACTTAGAGCCTGTGGCACAAGCATAAACTGCTCTACCAGTTCTGTTGTAATAATCCACAACAGAGTGGACCCCCTGCAGCTGCACATTGTTTTATAGCTTCTGAAAGCCAAACTGAAGCTTATCTGTGGTCAGTTCAGAATTGATATTAACCAGTCAAACATTTTAGAATTTCAATAGCATGTCATTAACAAACAATGTGATAAACCGTAATTGAATTATGAATCAATCAGCACTACTTTTATTTCTATCCGTAGTTTCTGTAAAGATCTAAAATCGTCCTCTCCACTTTTGCGTTTTTTTGAACATTTTTGGAGTCCATTATAAATTCTTTATCTCAGTCCGTTAGAAACTTAGAAATGAAAAGTATTGATTGATTAAAAATTACTGTATTGTTCATCATCTTTTATTCATCGAGATTCGAGACTTCTTGCTATTTATTCTTATCTATCTATATAAATATACAGCAAATAACTTGATCTCTAATTGTGTTATTAGTGCAGTTGCATTTTTGACAAGATAACATGTGAATCTGTTTAGTATTTGTAACGGAGGTATAAGTATAACCGTAAGGTTGGTGTTATAACTTTTTAAACAATTTGCCCGTTTTTGGATTTATAAACCAATCTAGACGTATATGATTAAAGTCGTTTAACTTATATTCAATGTTTGTGAATACATTGAACATATTTTATAGAAACTTCTTTGGAACTCAATGACGTCCCCCAACCGATCTCTAAGATTGCCACACATAATACACATTACACAACCAGTCTTTAATCAAACCGTCCCTGGGGGCAGTAAAAGTGACCATCACCTAAATGAGCATGCTGTAGGCCTTCATATTGACGCTAACACTTTTTAATACTTTATATATATGACAGGGGTCCCATGTATTATGACAAAATCACATAGCAGTCTAGCGCTAAAAAAAATCCCTATACCAACCTATGCAAAGTATGTAAATTGTTCCATACCACTTTAAGTGCTTAAAAAAAACTATTTTTTTTTATGAAAAATGTGTCTCTAAGTCTTCAGATTTAATTGATTTGTTTAACCTTTCCTCTTCCCTTGATGCCAGAACTTTATTTTGATTTGTATCTCCATTTTTAGAAATCCTCATGAATTGAATCAAGTATTTTTTTGTTGACTGTCACATGTTAAATGGTTGTTATTTATGTTGCACTGACCAACGAACCAAAATTTCGAACTCTAATGAAAGTACGTTTCTTGGCACTCAAAAAAATACAGGAACAAATCATACTTTATTAAAGAAATCAGGTTACCAATCTACTTCCAAATTTTATCGTCCCTTCTACCCCCCCCCTTCCCTCTTGCATCAGACTCCTACCTTAATACCCCCTTTCGATACATCCCTCCTCCCCCTTTTCATCAATTAATTTTCCGCTTAGAAACTTTCGTTCACAAAAAAATAATTCTAAATGTCAATCACTGTCAAATGAATAAATAATATTCCTATTACAAAACCATATCTAGTAAAAATAACCTTTAGTCCTTCAAGCAAGTCTCGCCGAGACAGTCAGATATAATTTTTCTCTTGCTTCTTCTCTCCTACAAATCATGAGTTATCCCCAGAACGCATTTTTCTCATTCCAATCTTTCTTCTTTAAATTCTTTACATCCCAATTCTTAGTTCTTTGCTAACTCCTTTCATTCCTCCTTTCACGTCGTAACTTCTCCTTCCCCTCTCTTTTTTTCCCGGATCCTTCTCTAATATAAATTTATATGCATTCTCCATTCCCATTCCTTAGTACTGTTTATATGTTAATGTTCTGGATGGTTATCGGTTTCCTGTGATTTTGCGTAATTAGTGTTCTGGGGGATTTTCAGTATTTTACCAGTTCAGGGGAGTAATTATAGTATTTTGAATCTTGATTGTTTTTAATATATCCTCCTGATGAAAACAAAACATTTTTCCAAAGACCTCTGACCAGGGAATGGAGATACAAATGCTACTATAATCTTCCAGATCTCCATTTAATACTGTTTATTTAGACTTAAATTTATCTATTTTTTGCCTTTCTGGAGGGCTACACAATTTTACCTTTTCAAGAGTGTATCTAATAAGAAAGCAAAATGTAAAAACTTCCATAAAATAAAGTGTTCTGCCGTTTCTGGTACGAATGTAAACATTCACAGTACTGCCCAGGCTTTGTTGACATTCCTAGCGGAAGCAGCATGTACTTTGTACAGATTTCTTCATAAAAAAGTAATATAATAATCCTTGGCGTTTACCATTCTTATTACACTGTTTCATATAGTTTTATATTTCAATATGATTAACGGGTTGAGGATTTTTGCACATTTAATGGATTTAATTGTGCGTCTTTTAAGGTAAAAAAATGTCAATAGAATGTTTTGCAGCGGTAGCTTGGGAGGTAAATTAATTTCAATATAACTATTTTTTTAATTTATTACAATTTTAAGAAGAGAATAAATTATGCATTATAAAACAAAACAAAAATCACATCTCCACTTCATATTTTCTCAAGTCTAATTATTATAATAAAATGATTATCATTATTTATTTAAATATCCTAAAATGGAATGATTCGAGAGCTAAAAGAATAATTTCTTTAACACATAATATTAAACTTTAAGGCAAACGCACCACTAAGTGTTGAGAAGGTTATAGTTGAGCCCCCAGCCATTGGTCAAGTCAAAAAGTATTTTGATTATTTTCAAAGCACTAAAACTACTGGGGAAGGAATAATTTGTTCTCAAAAATGAAATTAAAGTAGTCAAGAGCTATATAAGCTGCCCCCTCTCTCCAGTTGTACCCAAACTTTTACAGGGAGGGTATTACCCCCGCCCCCATTTTCAGGTGCATCCCCCCCTACCAACCCACCCTCCTTAAGCCGCCAATGTTTGAAACTTTTAACGGTAATGGTGTTGGTATTATACAGAGTTTTTATCTCAAATTGGCAACATGATAGCTAGTAAATTTTTGTTTGTCGCTCAGATACTGCACCTCAGATCATTTTCTTTTAAAGGGAGTGACCGGCTATGTAAGGTAGTTGAACTGAGTATGCAGTGTTGTGGAAAACTTCTTTAGGATTCATTTGATACATATTAAACTTTTTAAAGATCTGTAAATCCTGAGTTTGAGTGCAAATTCGACGTTCAAAACTCCTACTTTGGGGTTGGATACGTTTTCAGAATTAGTTTTTTTAATTGTTAAAAACGACAACGAAAAATAAAGTAAAAATTATACAGTAATCTAATTGGATGGCTAGGAACACATTTCTCAAAAGAAATTTGTTATTAAATCAATGCTAAAATCGATTATTTTGTTTTCATTATTACATTGAATTTCTAATTTTCTTTTAATTTATTCGCAGATTTCTTCAAATTCTTCAAATGTCGTCTTTTGAATAACAATTCTAGAAAATCTGCAAAAGCCTTTGTGAATAATAAGAAACCATAATAATGAGATAATAGAAACTAATAATTGAACAAGATTACTTATTTTCGATGATTAGATAAATTTTTATTTTCTCAACATGTTCCTATACATGACGTCTGTAGTTTATTGTAGAACATTTTTACATTTTATGTCGTCGTTATTTAATAATTAAAAAAACTAATTCTGAAAACGTATCCACCCCCCAAAGTAGGAGTTTTGAACATCGAATTTGCGCTCAAACTCAGGATTTACAGACTTTTAAAAGTTTAATATGTCTCAAATGAATCCGAAATAAACTTTCCACAACACTGTATACTCAGAGCTGAAAACTTTAGAATGGTGGATATCGAGGTCAATGCTTTATCTCCTATTTTTCTTAATCTCGAGATCAAATAATGCTTGTTCTCCTCTTGTAATTAATCTCAAGATTAATTAACCGATCGGGATTAAGGATATCCAATTCTAAAGTTTTCAGTTCAGATCAAATACCTTACATAGCCGGTCACTCCCTTTAAGGTTGTGAAAGGGACTGTTAAGGTAAAATGAAAGGGGATATAGGTAAACCTAGACATTTTAGGAGTTGATTGGGACCAATAATAGTTATTCTGATGTCCCTGTCTCAAGAAATTGGTATTAAACTGTGTCCGAATTATACGAAACAATTTTAGGTACTTTCCCAAAGGCCTTTTCCCAAGCGGCAACTTCTCAAGGATATTTTCCCAAGTGGCAACATCCCAAGGATATTTTCCCAAGTGGCAACTTCCCAAATGTGCAATCTCCCAAGCGGCAACTTCCCAAATTTACATTTTCCCAAATGAAAATTTCCCAAGTGGAAACTTCCCAATAAAAGAAAACGACATATTCTCCATGAAGGAAGTATTAAATAAACATTTAAATTTTACATTTTAAAAGAATTTCCTAACTTTTCTGAAGAAAATACGCAACTTTAAAAAAAATTCTTTCAGTTTCTCTCAGTTAGTTAAGGCAAGAACATGTTGGCGGCCTAAACCCTTTCTTCTAAGGGTAAAAATGTATTTAACAATCCTTATTATTATCTAAGGTCTGAGCAGCAACTTCCCAAAAGTACATTTTCCCAAGTAACAATTTCCTTAAATAATTTACTACCTTTCTTAAAAACAAGTACTAGCCGCACCGCTCGGCCCCCTAGCACATCCTAGAAGCAGTGCTTGGCCCTTTGCCCATCCTAGCCGCAGCGCTCGGTCCCCGTTGTAGCCTGCAGCGCCTCAGACGCCTAACCTAACCCTAAATAATGTAATATATTTTCTTTAAAACAAGTAAAGCTGCAGTGTTCGGCCCCCTAGCCCATCCTAGGTTCAGAAAGCTTAACCTAAGTTTAAATAACAATAAGGATTGTTTAATTCATTTTTACCCTTTGAAGAAAGGGTGTAGGCCGCCAACATGTTCTTGACTTAACTGACTGAGAGAAACTAAAAGAATTTTTTTTTTAAGTTGTGTATTTTCTAAAAAAAACGTTGGGAAATTCTTTTAAAAATGTTGAACTTAAATGTTCATTTAATACTTCCTTCATGGGGACAGACGCCTAACCTAACCCTAAATAATGTACTATATTTTCTTTAAAACAAGTAAATCTGCAGTGCTCGGCCCCCTAGCCCATCCTAGCCTCGGAAGGCTTAACCTAAGTTTAAATAACAATAAGGATTGTTTAATACATTTTTCCCTTTGAAGAAAGGGTGTAGGCCGCCAACATGTTCTTGCCTTAACTGACTGAGAGAAACTAAAAGAATTTTTTTTTAAGTTGTGTATTTTCTAAAAAAAACGTTGGGAAATTCTTTTAAAAATGTTGAACTTAAATGTTCATTTAATACTTCCTTCATGGGGAAAATGCCGTTTTTCCTTAATGGGGAAGTTGCCACTTGGAAATTTGTTAATTGGGAAAATGTACATTTGCCGCTTGGGAAATTGCACATTTGGGAAGTTGCCACTTGGTTAAATGACTTTGGGAAAGTACCTTAACACCATAAAAAACTAATACATGACATGGTATTTGAACCAAAGTTTAAACAAACTCGTTGCATATTTGAAATCTGCATAAATGTATTCTTGGGTTGGCACGGTAAAATCAAATTTAAATATGTTTATTTTAAAATGAAAATCATTTAGAAATATAAGTTAGTCAAGTTATGTCGGACAGAGATTTTCATTAAAAACCCTTTTTAATATTCCAGGCGTATGGGCAGGGGTGTTTCCCTACTTGGCACCTTTTCCAGTTCTATTGGGACATGAAGGGGCTGGTGTGGTAAATATAACAAACAAATTTAAATGTGAAATATTTATGTGCATACTATTGTTTGGAAGTCTTGTAAATTCAATTTTGAAGGGGAATTTATAGATGTTTTTGTACAAAATTCGTGATAATGTAAGATTAAACCATTGTCTGATAACCAGTATATTGTTACCATTTAAAAGTGGTCAGAATTAAGAATATAAAAGCCTTAAACAGATGTGAGTTAATGGTTGATACTAATGAATCCAAGAAAGCTGGAGCTCTCTGGCAGACTCTCCGCCTTTACTCTGCCTCATATGACAAAAAATCCTCTTCCTTTTGATTCTTAGTGAACATTAAACTCCATTTCAGTTTTAGCCCAGGCTAATCCTAACTCTTTCTAGCTAGTGGTTAGGGATTCCAATTGCTTTAGCATTGCGCTCAACAGTTGCTTCCTTTTGCTCATTAGGGTTGTTAGCAATACATTTTTGCACATTGATTTGCAATATCTGTTGTGCCAAAAGTTTACATTGCAAATATAAATTTTGCGCTATAGCGCTATTGTGTTATTTCATTATTGCATTCTTGCATTATTGCGTTATCATGCGTTATTGCGTTATTGCGTTATTGAGTTATTGTGTTATTGGTACTGTTAAATATCCCTTTAAAGAACCAGTGCCTCCCCCCCCCACCCATTCCCGGCTAGGGTTTCCAATTGCAATAGCATTGCTCGCAATGATGTGCAAAGATGCGAAACAGTTGCTTCATTTTGCGCATTAGTGTTTTGTGCAATACAGTCATTTTTGAGCATTGATTCACAATTTCTGTTGCTTGAAAAGTTTACATTGCTAATATTTTTGGGCTATTGCATTATTCCATTATTGCATTATTGCACATGGGTACTGTTAAATATCAGTGAAGATGCATGCATTTTTGATCAACCTTATCTTCACAGAACTCGTCGATAAGATTTTCCTGTACCAGGCAAGGCAACTCCACCAGGATGAGTTTGTCAGCCAGTTGTAGCATTACTTCTATGGGAAGTCTTGGGAGTCTATAAATGGGGTTCACGTCTTTTTTCGTCCATATTTTTACATAAGCTAAGTTTGGATCTATGGGCTACGTACTAGGTGGATTAACATATTCTTCATTCACTCTCAACATCGCTGCATTAACTATCTAAGTGACCTCCACGGAGCCAGACCATTCCAGAGGTAGTTTTCTTGAGTTCCCTATTACAGGGAGCACCGCCGCATAGCAAAGGTCACCCACATTTATATCTTCCCTAGATCTGGATTAGTGTTATGCTAACATGCATGGTGCATTACCGTAAAGTTGAACTGTTGAATGTGATCGAGAAATCTTCTCACTGTGCTTCAGCTATCCTTCTTAGTGCTTCAGTGAAGGACAGTGTTGGATTTCGGGATGACGATGAATTCACCTGATCTTAACAAATTTCAAATTTAGAGAGTCAACATTTCACCCTTACTACTAGGATAGTTACATTCATAAGGTCTGCATTTTCTTCCTTTTACTCCTAAAAAACATTTACTCCCAGAGTAAAATCTGGTGGGGCTTGGTACGGTGCTGCTACAAACATCTGTTTAAGAATATTAAAATTATCAGTCATCTCTGTACTTAGGGCTGGGCGCGTTCCTGGTGGAACAATCATTATTTCCTGAGAACGAACGAACTATCAAGAACGATCCCATCGTTCCGGAAAAAAACTAACGATTAGAACGCGTTCTTAAAAATATTGGAACGATTAGTAAAGAACGGAACGAAACGGGAATTGCTTGAAAAGAATGGTTAAAATCGTTAACGCATTCTTATTATCAATTCTTATTGTTCTAAGTTGGGAACCCATTTTAAATCATGAATGTGTTCTAAATCCTCTAGAAATAGTTAAAGATTTTTTTATTTAATCACCTGACCACCCTCCTCTTAACCCGCCATCCCCTCCACTTCCCCAGCCTCTTCTCACATTATACATTATACACCCTACACGGTACAGGGATATACAGGGATATACAGGGTGTCCCAGGAGAAATGTCTGCTTAAAGACCGTCTTTGATCGTTACAGCATTTTCTTTCAACAACTATGGTTCTTAAAACAATATCTCCAAAATATAAAAACTGCTAAAAAATATAGTTTTTCGACGGGGGGGAGGGGGGGATTTAGGTTGAAAGAAATTGATATCTATAATTTATTTATATATCTTTTTGATATTATTGAAATAAATATTGATTATGAAAATTAAATATTTTTCAAAAATCTACAA